CTTCTTTCGATATTGTGCAAACCGAAAGATCTAACAGGAAAAGAAGATAAAATTAATACCATTTAAGCTGTATGAACTGCGATAAACACTATATAGGTCAAAGTTGGCATCCCCTTCAAATCCTAACCCAAGGACACAAATTAGCAATAAAGAGACCCGATATATGTTCTTCCGTATCAATGCATGTGGATAATTATGGAGACCAATTTGACTGGGATAATGTAGACACTTTAAACAGAGAAAAACACCAAAAATTACAGAGAATTCCTAGAAGTTGGGTACTCAAATGAATTAGTGACTAACGAACACATTAGTATAGACCAAATTTACCAGGTGATAAAAAGTAAATGATCAATATAGACTTGAATTAACAACCAGTCACGACAGTAGTTGCCAGGAGATACAATTACACCATTCATAGAGAGTTTAAATGAGTTCATTTTATACTAAAATCTGCGCTGAAGATGCTGTCTACAAGTGGCGAGTCGGAAGCTTTGCAATTAAACCAGCCAGCTCCTCAGGGAACACAACTAATTTAACATCATCCACCTAAGCTACAAATCTTTTCGGTTATTTTAGTAGCTAGACGTACTAACTGATTATATAGTTCAAAGTTGAATCTCATGTCTTAGCGGTTTCTAAAAGAATATTTCGTTTGACTTTTTACATTAAGAAGTTAAGGCACTCAGGCATAACTCAACCACTCCTCCTACAGTTTATCAACTCGTGTATTTTACCTATTCTTCTTTACTGTTCACCATTATTCTTTCCTGGATTGCCTAAAAAGGATTATGTCATACTTCGTAGAGCTCTGAAGACTGTCAGTAGGACGAGTGGGATCCCATTAGGCCATATCGTTGGCATTGTCACCGATAGGCATTTGATGTCATGCAACAAATTCGCTAAAGGAATTTTGTCAGACTCTGAGCACCTACTCTACCCGCAGTTCCAACCTTGTGTCTCCTCAGGTGAAACAAGAAGTCTTTTCAGAAGACTTTATGCACGTACGTCTAAGTACAAAAATTCCACTATACCATATTTGGCACGTACTTTATGTGATGAAAATAGTGTCAGAAAGGAACTAACTAACCATCTTAGTACCACTAAATAAACCTTTTCCTTCACTTTTAAAGCATCATACTTTATTGTTATTGTATTTATTATATTTATAATCCTCTCAATTTTTTCGTTTTGTTTATTTTATTTTTCATAAGTGTGGACATAATTTTAAGCTGTATTATGCCTGTTAACTTTGTATTTCACCTCACTATACCATATCAACAGAACATTGGACCCAATTATCCATAACATGCTAAAGTTTCCAAACTGAATCGACAATATCGTTTGAAACAAACTCACTGTTATTATTATTATTATATCTAATAATTATGTCGTAAACGTGGTTAATTTTGTTTTAATTTTTAATTTTATTTATATTTTAAGTAAATCAGATGCAATATTGTGACAAATACTGAGAATTCCATTCTGTATTATAAGTACTGTTTTTGGAATAAAGTAAATTATTATTATTATTATAATCAGTCACTACATTGATTTTCAGGATTATAAGACACATAAGTACTTTTTTGAAAGATGAATTGTCATGTGACTAGTTATAATTCAGTTATAATTTATCATTTACTATTTTCCCCAATGAAAAAGCAAATTACTTTTGTTCATCTAACAATAAATGATGGTTTATCACATGATTTGTTGTATTATTAAACAAGGTGAATATGCGGAAGTTAGTTAGTCAGATAGAATTCTAAATGATATAACAGTGAATATTGATTTGAGTAATTCATTGGCTCATCATGGTTGATTAGGAATTGAGCAATTTGTTAACTTTTGCATCTTTCTTATTGTTCTATACTGCCTCAAAATTATTCTTCCCTGATCTACATCAAAATAGATAGTGCCATTTTGAAAAACACTTCGAAAGCTGTTATTAAGATAACTGGCGCTCCTCTAAGTCAACTCATTGATATCACTGTGTGAGTACTGATGAAGAGTCCCTTACTAGGAAAAAAGAGTGTCCAGTATTCCATGAAATCTAGTGGTTGTCTAACTGATTTCTGTTCTGCTTGGTTCAACAGCCTGCTGTGTGAGACTGCTGTTTTTCTTTTAAGTATTTGTCATGATTAAAGTGTGAACTCCTGCTTATTGGTTATTGAGTAATCACTTAAAATTCGCGTAAAACACTTTGATTACTTTAACAAAAATGTTATTATACATGATCTTAGTTTACTGCATATAACTCTACTAGATTCAGACAGTTCGATGAATCATTTATTCTTTGGTTTTCGAATCTATTTATACTTTTCATTCTACTGTAAGACAACCAGAACCAAAAAGAAGGAATAATTGTCAGAGTTGGAAATTCATCCAACCTGACACTAAGCATGATTCAGAAACGATCTCTAAATACGAACTTAATTTTTGAGAGGATGTTAGCAGAAACTATACAGCGGATACCACGATAGTCGATAATCATGTCAAACTGTCTTTGCAGAATATCGTCAACTCTACAATTTCGTGACATTTTCATTTAATAAAAAAGAGTTTACTGATGAAAGGAAAATAAAATAACGGTGGTGACGCTGATTCGCATAAAAATCTAGTGAGAATTGGCAATCATCAAAGACTAAAGTTTAGTTTACCTTAGTTAAGAGCTCAGAAGAAGGCGTTACGGAATACATACTAAGTTCTGAGAAGTTATCCAATAACACATCTATGTGTTCTGTTGATTTAACTACTTTCTGCTCTTTTTAACTCTGATTTAGTATTCATTCAGGTACAGATAACCCCTGTTTGTTTAATAATTTCAGTATTAGCTACATTGTATTCATGTATTGATGGTTCAGTGACAGAATGCTCGTCAACGACGCGACCTATTGACTCGCCTGACCTAACCTAGCTAATAGTACACCCGAAAAGAGGTTAGGTTGGATATGAAGCTGGAAACTGTAGCTGTAAAAACAACACCGCTACTTAAACTTCAAGAATTGAGGCCTAATGTTTTACTTGGAACACTAAGGGATTGTTAGAACTTCATTAACGTGTATGAACGCCTCTTATTTTGATGTAATGAAAATATGCTATTTAATCGCATTTACTTGCAATAATCTTGATAACTTGAGGTTATTTGTTTGTTGATAGTTAGCAGTAGGGCCTATGACGCATGCCTAAATCTATTTCGGATCCGTTATCCGGATATACCTGTTCGTCCGTGGGTTATGGTGTTCCGGCTGAGACTTGAACCCACCGACCATCGCTCCAAACTCCAAAGCGGTAACCAGTAGGCTACTGCGACACAGTAGTCAAGGTTAACTCTCAGTTATTATTCCTAGTAATATAAATATATCCGTTTAAAGGATGCATTTGCTGAAATTAGGCTGATCAGTTTTGATCAGATTTGTCAATGTTAAATCACAAAGTTGAAAAAATGACAGTCAAATTTGCGATTTGCCAACAAGTTTACGAATGATGAGCTCGACTGCAAGTGAATGAGACGGCCATCCCGTGTTTAGTTTACTTCCATCTGGTTGGTGATCACTGCTGGTTGATACAAGTCGTATCCAAATGCTCATATCAAGCTGTCAATAGTATAAAATTGATAGCAATCTTTATATTTTCCAGCTGTTAGCAGCTGAAGAAACTCACAGAAATGTAAATTAATTCTATTTTAAACCGCTAATATTCCCGTCCTTGTTTTGTCCATATTCATTATAAAGAGATAATGCTTATGTGTAAGGGTTTACAGTTATTTTGATGTTCAGGAGTGTATCATATTAGGCTGTGTGATTGACGCTGACATTGTCGTTTCGACTGTCGGTAACCTAATAATTAGCTGATAATATTATAAGTCGAACATTACTAAATATCATTCTGTGTAGTTTTTTATGTATGGGCTGACGCGTTTAAAATTTCGACGCACAACGAACTTTCCTCCGTTAGTAAAAATTCAGTAACTTGTTATTAACTGAATCAGAGTTATGGACATGCTTGAAACTACAGCGTTAGCGTTTTCACAGCTTCTCGATTCCTCAGTGTGCTCTATAAGTTAATGTGCGCATGTAACGGCAGATTGGCACCTCAAAATAGCAAAATTATGTACACCTTATCTTCAACGCTCCATTTGCACAGACCTTCCGTGTTGTGCTACTTCTAGACTTCATATTGGGTTTCTTTATATTCCCTTCACGTCTCCCATGTATCTCCGCAAAGCTGTATCATTTGATTTCTCTGACATTAAATCTATCTCCCTGCTATTTATTATTTTTATGCTGATGAACATTTCTTTATATACTACTAATAAATCTTATCAGTAACACACACCACAAGCATACTATTTAGTGTTAGCAAAACTTTTCTGTGGTAGCTCTGAAATGACAAAATTATTATCAATATAATGGAGAAGTGAAATGTGGATGGCAGTAAAATTTGAGTAAATACCATACTAGTAACTATTTGACTAATTTACGAAATCGAACTGATAAGGTACCTCAACACTTAGTGTAAAGATGATGTCATGGGACTTATTCGCACAACAAACCTTGATGGTTTCAGAGTTCTAAAGACTCGACTAACAGCTTGACCTTTTACATTATTTGGTTGGGGGGTTTCATCATGAGCTGAAATCAGTTAGAGAACCATCGGAAGACCACCAGGGAGTACTGCACAGCTGTTTCGTATGTATAGTTTGGGACTCGTCGTCAGTGCGCACCTACCATCAGGGTTGGAACCCAGGAAATTCTGGTCACAAGCCTAGCGAGTTCGTAGACCATTAAGCCACAAATACTTGAAAATTTTACATTATTTCTTGGAGAAGCAGTCTAGTAATTCTATGGGTCGGTGGTTGAGATCCTGTTAGAATTCAGTTTTCTAATACACCTTTAATCATCATTCATCACACTGTATAAAACCTCCAGCTTCTTCCTTGTTTATTTATCTATACATTTTGTTCTCTGTAGATCTTCGAAATATTTCTAAAGATAAGAATGGTTGATCCAGTAAATTACAATGGAGGCATATTCAGATTTATTCCATTTGAAAATAAAACCTGGATTATTGATCTTCTACAAGAAAGTGTCGAAAAGCAAGAAGTTCAACTACTCATCAGCCTACTCGTCGTATCCTGTATATTCAGCATACTGACAATTATAAAAGTAATATTTATTCGTTGTACTGAGAAGCCTGCATTGAGCAATAATTCTATAAACTCATCTGTAGCATTACATCCTTCCAATGCAATAGAATTAACTAAAAGAAATGAGTCATATTCATGTAAAACAAATTACAAAACTACAGAAAGTGAGTATTTTTGTTTTAATGATACTTTAGAATGGGATGATGACATGTCACTGTTAAATAGTCAATACAATAAAATAATAAACAACACAAGGCGGCATTATCATCAGTTTGAAAATATTGATAGTAATAATAATAATAGTAATCATATATTTGAACATGTTTCACAAGGGAAGAGGTCAGTCTCTGAAGAATTGTCGAATACAAAAAAGTGTAGCAACAGAACAGATCAACAATATTCCGGTTCTAGGGATATCTCTAATAATAATAATAATAAAAGTTTGTCAGATAAAACAACATACAGATTAGAATTGTCTAAATTTCATAGAAAATCTTTAATCCATCTATCTGTCTATTCTGCTCTGTTTGTTATGTGTTTTATTGGATTCTTGGCCAGTTGTATATTGTTAATAAGAAATGAACAAAGTTTACTACAACAAATCAATAATCTTCCATCAGATTTAAAATTAATTTCATTACATATTGGAGAATTTATTCAATATGCTATAAATAATGCTTATACTCTGACAACTATTCATATCCACAATGATGCATTACGTCAGTCACCTGATAAAAGTCGATTAAAGCAATTTGTTCAAAGTATTAAATATTTTATAGCTGAATTAACTACTTGTTTAACTACTGATTTATGTGATGCAAGTAGTATTAATGTTGCCGGTTTAAATTTATTACCAAGAAGACAAGAAAATCAAGAAAAGAATTTAACTTTAATTCAATTGAAAGCGATTGAAATAAAATCAAATATGACGCTGAATAATTTTGATTCCGTTTTTCAAAAATATATAAATTTAAACAATGTGGCTAGATCAATGAACAATGAAGTGATTAGAAGAATTGAACATTCATGGTATGAATATCGACAGAGTTTATCGCCTTTTATCTTTCCATTCACCTCTTCAAATGTACATAATGATAACATCAAAAGTAATAATAATATGAACTCAACAGCACTAATATCCTCAAATTGGTGGTACACTTCTCCTATTATACAGGAAACTAAAAATACTTTGTGTAACAGTTCAACTGTTTCACAACTTGTTGACTTTAAATCATGCAAAGACATTGATCAATTTTTAATAGAACTAATAAACTATTGTACACATCTTCCGGTAACTTTACCATTGAACAGTGTATCATCTGTTTTAATCTATGATTTGATACCGCAAGCATTGAACATTGAAAACCTGATAAACGATTGGTTACCAGTAGTTAATAATCTATCTAGTAATGGTGTTAACTTTTTGTTTGAAATGTATTTAAAACCAAAAATTGTTGAAACTAATCAAAAGATTTCAATTTATGCTAGAGAAAATCCACCGAGTGAATTTATTGAAACATTGAACCAGCTTTTACGCTACATTAGTATTGGAATGACTGTATTTTTTATCTTGCTTATTCTGTTATGTATGATTGCGCTTACTTTGTATATTCATGTACTCATCTCACGCGTACGATATATGAAACATCAAAAGCGACAATATAATAGTTATTTCAACAAACATTCTCGCCTTGAAATACATCCGAATAGATCGGTATGTTTACGTCTCACAGTGTGTACAGTTTCTGTGATAATTTTATTATTTATAATATTTAGTCTATCGTTTGTATATCTTTCTGTTATAAGTATACAAGAAGGTTGTACATATCTAACGCCGAATAATTTAGCACAAACCAAAGCTGATGAATTACTTACAAGTTATTTGAAAACAGTGATTTACAATATAAAACAGATACACAACTTTTTATTAATTGATAACATAAATTTACAAATACCACAGAATATTTTAAAAACACTAAATTCAGAATATGTACGTGGACATTTACCATTATTGCAAAGTTTACGGATTAATCGACCGTTTAATTTCACTGCTGCACTGAACTCCGATTACACTAGTTCAATGTTAAAAAGAATTTGGTATAAAGAGATTATAAGTAAATGGAGTAATTATCATTTGAAATCAAAAATTCCATCTATCAACTTAAAAGAGATCTATGAGAGCACAAAAGTCACCTTGAAATTGGAGAATTCCTTCGATAGTTTATATGTTGGCAATGTAACAGAGTATTTCGTTGACCCAGGAAAGAATTACTTCACGATACTTCTGCGTAATCTTCAGAATATATCACAGTCTGAAAATGAAAATCTTATTAATTTTTACAATAAACTAAATCATCTGTATAATGAATATTATGATGGTTATATGCTTGTTCAAAAGAACTTGGAAATAATTCAGGCGAATAAAGCTATTCTACAACCATTGGATGATCTCGTCAATATTGGATCCAGTATGCTAGAGAAGATTCAAATATTGTCCGACTCAAACCTTCAAAGTTTAATTGATCAATTACTTCCTGTATGTTGGTCTCAGTTAAAACCAAGTATACAGCAGTACATAATCCCATTCATTTCAAATCTACTCGACGATATGATACCATTTGAAGGATTAAATGATATTTATGTACAGACTGTTGGTTCTGTTTGTCAGAAGGTGACTACTACTACTACTGTCACACATGATAAAGATCCACATCATGGAAATGCTATACTGCCTGAATTAAAATTACTGGGGATTGCAGCTTCAGCTGCAAGTTTTTCATTGTTACTGGCAATATTTATTTGTTCGCTTTTATTGTAATTATTAAAGTATCTTGATAATGTTAATTTACTATTTTTCTTTTTGGATATGGTTTTGTATACTTTTTTTTCGGTTTGTTTTGTCTCTGTTGTTTTATGCGTTAGACTGAAGAAAAAGAGACATTTGCATTTAAAAAATACTCTTAGTTTTCCGTTGCCTTACTCATTTCACCTTCGATTGTTTTATTACTATTGGTAGAATGTTATTTTGAGCTGGATGTGATTTATGTTGTTCAGCTGTGATGTGTTTAGTAATGATAGGTATATTTTCAACAGCTGCAAAATAAAGATTAGGTATTTGGGAATGGAAAATATACAAATTAGCCAGTAGACTGAGTTTTTCAACAAAGTCAGTTAAAAAAGAAGTTCATATCAGGATGCATTGAACATCGATCATATTTTAGATGGCTTTTAAAATTACACAATTTCATTACATGGCAACTACTTCGCTACTACGGGGTGCCATCGACAATTATACATCTTATCCAACAGCTGTACGACAATGCTGAAAGCCAACTAATCCACAATGGGAAACTTACGGAGTCCTTCGAAGTAAAGACAGGAGTAAGACAAGGCTGCCTACTATTGCCAATGGTTTCCCTGATTGCAGTAGATTGGATAATGTGACAGACAGTAGGCAGCGAGGAAACAGGCATAAAATGGACCCTCACGAAAAACTTGGAGGATGTGAACTTCACCGATGATATGTGTCTGATTTCCCACAAACTGGAAGATATGCAAGTGAGAAGCAACAAGTTGACAGAAGAAGCATCAAAGATAGGACTCCAGGTGAACATAGAGAAGACAGAGGTGATGAAGATTCTTGGGCAACAACAACAACAATCAAAATAAATGGGAGGAACCTGAAAGAAACAACCTCCTTCACCTACCTGGGAAGCATCATTTCAACTACAGGTGGACGGAACTGATGAGGATATCAAAGCAAGAATCGAGGAAGCAAGACAAGCTTTCATTACTCTCAAGTCTGTGTGGAGGTCAGCAGCACTCAGTATGAAAGAAAAATAAGATGTGGATTTTCAACTTCAATGTGAAGTCAGTGCTACTATACGGATCAGAGCCTTGGCGCCGCGTCACGAAGGGCACTTCGAACAAAATACAGACTTTCACCAACAGCTATCTTCGCGCAATACTCAAGATCAGATGGCCAACCAGAAAAGATCAGCAACCGGGATCTCTGGGAGCGAACCAACCAGGGACCGATTGTGCAACATATAAGAAGGAAGAAATGGAGGTGGATTGGCCATACTCTCAGGAAACCATCAAGTGACATCACTAGACAAGCCCTTGAGTGCAAGGGTGACTTGGAGGAGGTCATGTGAAGAAGAGGTGAAAACGTGTGGGCCGACTTGGAGCCAGGTGAAGACTGTAGCAGAGAACTGAACGCAATGGAGACGCACGGCTGAAGCCCTATGTTCTTCTAAGAATTAAGCAAATAATTATAATATAAAAATAATTACAAAATTTACTCTGAAACCAAAAGGATCCACACCTGCCTAAAATTAGAATGCTTAGTTATAATTATTGTTTGCGCACTAAAGGTCTTTAATGTAAATGTAGAACTTGGGTAGTGTAGGTAGAATGTAATTCCATATTAGATACATTTATTTTAATAATCACACAGTGATGAAGTATTAACAAATGGAATGACAAGGTTTCGAGTATAAATTGCTGCTAGTCATAATCATATGAATTTAGTCACACGGCTTCACAATATATCATATTTACATTTGCTGCCTCTCCAACTTCCCTTTGTTGTTTGTTGCCACTTTCCTTATCTCCGATATGGGCGTTCCATCATTCCCATTGCACGTGGGAGAGGTTGAGAGTATTATAAAGTAATATAGTTAGGTGGAGAGAGAGAAGTTACTCACTGAAGTTTTGTTTATCGATTCGACAAAACACAAGTTCAATCGGTGCCACAGTGGTTAGAACTCTCATCGACCATACACATGGGCCGGGGTTCGATCCATGGCCGATGCACACCTGATATCACTGGTCGGCCTACTAAATTCGGGCTATCGATATCACATGCTGAAAATTCCATACTAATGCTAAAATACTATGTGGAATCAAGCTATAATTTTAAAAATATTGGTTAAGCATCAGTGGTTCAATTGTAAAATGTTCGCCAACCATGCATGGGGCCCAGTTACGACTCCTGATCAACAAACTCATAAACTTCTCCTAGATTAACAGTAGATAGTATCCCTTGGAAACAGGAAAGTTTATTCGTGAGACTGGCAATCCGATTGCGTAATTTTAAAGACACTGGCCACTGAAGCTTAAAAGCTTGAAGCGTTATAATCCACTCAAAATGAAAAAAAGTACATGTTAATTAGGCCAAAAGAAAACAATCAAACGACAGATGGCTTTGTCATCAAAAGTCCTCAGTAGTACACCAGAGTTAGCTTAGGTCACTGAAAAGGTTTTAATAGCTAAATGATCTCATTATTCCTTTTTTAAAATTTAACAGACGCTTCATTTGCATTATTATCCTCTATGTAAAAGACATACTTAAGTCATTTTGATCAATTTAAGTGGTACGGATAAATAATTGTAGATACTTTGTTTGTACTCATGTCAGTCAGAAGCACGTATCATTTGTTTCTCCTGCTCATTTTTTTGAAAATGTTTTGATTTCAAATCGACCATAATTTCCATTCTGAACATAAAAATTAAGAACGAACAACAGGATTCTTACAATCAAGTTAAATTTGAGTGTTTTGTTCTCACTGTAAACTAAGAAGCTGACATCAACACCTGCTTTAAGGTTAATTGAGGTAACAACCTACGCAGCAGTCTTTTCACCTGTATCACATCATGATAATGGAAGGCACCTGTAGCTTATGAAGCAGATAGTTAAGCTAAACCATTTTCTTACCTAGAAATTCAACTGGGTGTCTGAAAACAACGCGCTAATAATAGTTTTCAATCGTTAATTTTAATGTAGCTGTCGCCATGAAGCAATATCAGTTGGAGAAGAAACGAAAACTATTGTCATCCTAGTTTTGGCCTCTTCAGGTGTTTATACTTACAACCCAACCAAAAGTCTCACTCAGGATAAGCAGGTTCAGTCCACTCTAGTTTCCAACGGTCAGATAAGTGGTGCCAATTTTCATAAATGTAGGTCTAAAGAAAAAAGATCAAACATAAATTGATTCAAAAAATATCAAAGTTCTAAGATCCAAAAGTTGCATTTTTGGGATGCTTTGATGCTTTTAAGAAAACTACCCAGCATCTAATCATCCCAAGCTGTTGAAAGTTATACACACAAAGTCAGCACAAGAAATGTTAGCCAGACAAACTTTTGTCTGTCTAATAGTTGTTTAACACAAGCAGACTGAAAGAGGTGTATAAAAATTTGGCACTAATATAAAATATCTCTTTGGATCAAACATAGTGACTATTTTATCCTTGTAAAACTTTACAAAAGTTACCTAAAAGTTATGCATTTGCTGAGGTATTTACGTTAAATCACCCAATAGAGCTATTTTCAAGTCTATTGTGAAGAAATAAACAACTGTTCTGTTCTGTTGTGAGATCTCTTAACAGTGTTATTTGCAGCTGCATAGTACCATCCAGTGACTGGCTATGGTTGCATTACTTTGCATCTGTAATCAGGTTGCACTTGTTTGGTCATTTAAGCCATATTATCCGATAGCTACTTTAAAATATGTTTCTGGACGTATCTACTGATGATGCCGAAGTGACTTTCTAATCTTTGACACGTCATAGAACTAAGCAAACGTTAAGTTAATATCCTAACAGTTGGTGGCTACTTAAAGCTGAATAAACTCAAACTGCCTAGTACACAGTGGTTTGAAATACTTTAAATAGCCAATAACAGCAGCTTACAATGTAAAGTAACTTGAAACTCAGTCAATTTATTATTACTAGACATTATTCAAAATAACTTCTACTTAAGTTAAACTTCAGCTGTTCGATTTCGTCGCAAATCAACATAAGTTAGGGAGGCCATCGGAAACCAGGCATCACCAGAAACCTGTTTCATCCTAGTTTGAGAATCCTCATAGTGCAAGACCATTACACCGTCAGGGTTCGGACTCGGGACCTTCATGTTGTGACCACTGAGACACTTAGGTAGGAATTTCACGACCCCTGAATTCTACCTTTATCAGGTCGTGATTAAGTGTTTCTCTCACCAGTACCTTCGATGAGCATCCAGTTCACCTCCACATGGTAGATCCCGCTGATCAGGACTTCAAGATATTCATACAGTAGCCATCATTGAGCTGAAGAGTGCCAAAACAGGACGAAACAACTGTCCAGTGCTCGCTGGTTCCAGTGATCTCTCTAACTGATGTTGGTCCATGACAAAATCTAACAAACTGAAACTTAATTAATCCATATCCCCATAGATCCCATAGATCTTTTTCATAAATGTACCTAAGGTACCTTAATTTAATATTATAGAAAACGTTTGTTGAATTTATTGATCTGTTCAAATCCGCTTAATTGTTTAAGGTCTTTAGTCAGCTGATTAATAGTTTTATGATATTCAGTTGTATACTAAACTGTCACTTAGCAACCATTAAAGCTTATTGCATTGTGTATATAAATGAATGTATTCCTATTAGCATTACACTTATCAACATCATCATCATCATATTGGATTGACAAATATCCTACACAAATGGATTCTAGTCGTATTCTATCAAGTGAAATGATGACAACAACTACAATTAGTGGTTGTATGGGGAATAAACAATCCTTGAAATTGCCATCTACAGATATGAATGTGGAGAACAACTTTAAATCGCTAGATATTTACACTTTAATTGAACAAATTTCTATTGAGAATTTATGGTTAGCTCATCAGTTAGTGAATTCAGAGCATGGAAGTGTTAAAGATGCACAGACAGGGAATACCCTATTACATTATTTAATTTTATCAGCTTCTAAATTGGCAGCCAAACAGCATAATAATAATAGTGGTAGTAGTATTGATTTATCTGATGATGAAAATTTGTATCCTGAATGGGCTTCAGCGATTGTTGGATTAGTTTATCGTCTTGTTATACACGGTCGATGTTCAATTAATGCACAGAATAATATGGGAAATACACCATTGCATTTAGTCTGTCTTCTGCCTTACACAGAATTTTTAACAGTGCATTTAATACGTTTAGGTAAGTAGTTAATATTAACACTTCATACTATGAGTATTGTGAATAGTGTACAAGTATTATTATTATTATTGTTCCCATGGGTTCCTAGTGAAACATAGGGCTTCAACTGCACGTCTCCACTTGCTTCTGTCTTCTGCTGTATTTTTCACTTGCATCCATGTTAATCTATACTGTTTCAACTCCTCTTCACACGATCTCCTCCATGTCACCCTTGCACTGACGTCCCACTCGCCGCTTCCCTTTCAGGTTCTACTCGAGCTATGGCCTGACGCGCGATGTCACCCCGCGGCCTCCTCAGCGAGTGTCCAATCCATCTCCACTTTCTCCTGCATATTTGTTGAGCGATTGGTTCTTGCTTTGTTAGTTCTTGTTAGTGATTCTTTCCGGCCATCTGATCTTCAGTAGTATAGAGCGAAGACAGTTGTTGATAAAGGTCTGTAACCTGTTGGAAATATTCTTTGTGACCCGCCAAGTTTCTGATCCATCCGTATAGAAGAACTGACTGACTTGACGTCGTTTGCATTGAAAATCCGAATTTTGTTGTTGATGCAGGCTGAGTGACGAAGATTTCCGGATTGGTTTCAGGTTGATGAATGTGTTTCTCACCTTCCCGATTCTCGATTTGACATCCTCGTCCGTTCCTCCTATAGTTGAGACAATACTCCCTAGATAAGTGAATGAAGTAACCTCTTCCAATCAAATCCCTCCCGTTGATGTTGATTGGTGCTGGATGTTGCTGCTGTTGTTGTTGTTGGTTGGTTATTTTCATAACCTCCGTCTTGTCTATGTCCACCTGTAGTCCTGTCTTCTCTGGCTGCTTCTTCGACGAGTTTGTCGGTTTTCGCTTGTAAATCTTCGATTTTGTGTGACATCAAACATAAATCATCCACGCGCGAAATCCAGGTCTTCTAGGTTCTTCACGTCGGTCCAGGACATCCCTGTCTTCTCGTTTCCCACTGTCTGACGCATAATCCAGTCCACCACGATTAGGAATATCATTGGTGATAATATGCACCCTTGTCTGACTCCTGTGTTTACTCCAAACGCCTCGCTGAGTTTTCCGTTGTGGATCACTTGACATGTGGCGTTGTCGTACAGCTGTTGAATAAGGTTGATGAATACTTGGGGTACGCCGTAGTACTCGAGTAGTTTCCAAATTACTTCGCCTTCGACAGTAAAGAGAGCATGGTAAAGAGCATTTTAAATGTTCACAGGTCTTTCAATTTCTGTATGAAGGAGAACATTTGATTAACTTTGATAATGTAAAAGATAACTCCTGAAATGATGTATATATTGTCACACTATTTGGGATAGTCTTGGATAAACAAACTGTTGTTAATGTAGTGTGTGGTGATTAAAGGTAAAACGAAAAATTAGGTAGCGGAAGGATTCGAACTGTCTAGCACTACTTAAACGCATAATACCAGTAGCAGTTTGCTAATCTAAGGTTGACCAATCTACTTTCGCCATCATTTAACAATTTATTTTTCTCCTTTCAATCCAGTATCATAAGGATTAATGGGGGTTAACCTAGCTGAGTAGCTATGGTGGTGGTGTCTTCCCTCCAGATGGATAGAAAGGATTAGCAGCAAAGAAACTCTGACAGGCAACAAAACAACAAAAATTCTTCTTCTAAAACAATATGGAGAAGGACGTGTAGACAGCCAAATCACACTCTGAGGAAACCGTTGAGTTACACTACGCACCAAGCCATCGATCAGGTGGAACCTGGATAGAAAATGATGAGTTGTGTGTGGGTCCGAGAGGAGGAAATGAAAGTTTGTTGACAATTGTGAGGCCATCTCTAAAGGAAAGAAGACAACAGAGTGAAATAGTGATGAACTGTTGAAACCCTATGTTCCATTCGAAGCCCAAAAGAATAGTAACAATAATAGTATGTACTATCCATCCACATAACAGCTGTTCAGTTCATGTAGTGATTGAAGTGAAAATTTTACTTAATTTATTTTTATTTTTATTGTAGCTTGACTCCACACATTATCTTTGATACAATTATGAAATTTTCAGCGTGCGATATCGGTAGCCCAAATTTGGCAGGCCGGGGATAGAACTCCGAACCATGTGCATGGTCGGCGAGCTATGCCACCAACGCTGGGTCAGCGGATTTAGCTCTTAGAGTGTCGATCTAGTAAATCTAAGGCTGATGTTTCAAATCCTGACGCCACCCAGATTTTCACTACACCTTTAGTCATCATTTATTACATTATTCATATACATTTGTTGTTAAATATTTCAATCGATTATGCAACATTCTGATAGGATCCCACACACTTTGTTATTGTTCAATTATCTTAATGACTGTTAATCTCGCATATGTGTTATATTATCATTTCCCAGGCACTTTGTTATTGTTCAATTATCTTAATGACTGTTAATCTCGCATAAGTGGTATATCATCATTCCCACGCATTTTGTTATTGATTATTACGACCAATTATTTCAAATACTGTTAGCTGCCTCTATTGGTTGTAAAATTGTATAAATACCATTTCCTAAATAAGTTTATTTGTCGTCGTCGTCATAGTTTGTCGCAGTTGTTGTACTACAATACACAGTCACAGACCAGCTTTTGTCTTTTGATATTTGCGTGGTTCGCTGAATCGGAAGGTACCAGAAGCAGATAGGCATATTAGTCAGGCGCAGACAGAACAAGGCGACAACGTCCTCATTTAATTCCCCTACGGCTACAGTTATAACACATTCAGCATCACGAATCTAATCTCAACATGAAGAAATGAGGAAATTATTCACCTCTAGGATGTCATTTGAATCCTTCCCTGTTAAACTGCAGATATAAGTTTTATAATCAAAATACGCGTGAAATGTAAATAATATACAAGTGCGTAATTTGACTGTAATCAGTATAATCCTCTTTAGTTATAACTGTCGGTGAATACTGTTGATAGAAAGTGAGCTGAAGTCAACAAGCTATGAGATACATCACTGGTCTACACTGCAACCTAGTACTTGTTTTTGTTCTCAAATATTTAACAGACTGATCAATACACTTTACAGCTTTATGGTTATTATTATCATTAGGTAACCGACTCGTCTATGCCACCCAACCATTCGAATTTTGTCTATGTTGATAAAAGTAAAACCAATTTCACACAAATTTCGGTTCCATTTTGTAACATTATTAGCCTATTTTGAATTTACAAACCTAATGTAAATGAGAGCTTAAATCATATAGAAGCGAATAGAATTCACAACAATAGTCACAAATCTTGTCAATCAGCCTTAAAGAAGATGGGTTAAAGGTAAAATATACTGATATGTGAACGTTGATGAGAATAGGCACTCATTTGATAACAGAGATCTCTTAAATTTATATGGATTCTGAATAGAGAAATAAAAGACTTTATTTCCTACAAAGTTTAATTTTCAATATATTAAGGTGTTATGTAATTTACAATATGAATTGATCTTTACATCTTTTGTGAAAACTGTATTCATTTAGGAACTTAATATATTGTTTAAGACAACAAGGAATTTAAAATAAGCGTCGGCGGCTTGGAGGTAGAATGCTCGCCAACCACACAGGTGGTCCGGGGTCTGATTCCTGACTGATGCACTCCTTCACATCGCTAAGCCGGTAGTACGGCCAGTAAGAAGAAAGGTTGGGCGTGAGGCTAGCAACCCCATCACATAAAATCAAAACCATTGCTACCGAAACTTCGAAGCTGAAGCTTGAAGCCCTATGTTCCACTTGAAGTGTAAGGGAATAAAATAAAAAAATATCACGAATAAGATCCTAAAATCATTGTCAAGACTCGACTGTTCTTCGGATCTCAGCAACAAACAGAAAATTTCTATTCAAGTATTTGCTAAGTCATAAAATTGCAAATGCATAACGTCTTATCGTTCTAGGACAATATTAAAAAGCAGTTACCGTATTACATAAACAGAATAAGGTTTAAAAAGCTCGCATGGATGCTTAAATGCTGAAGGGTTGGTTTATCGAAAGTCAACTAGAATAGGGTTTTGTATATTTTTAACTGGAATATTTAAAGATCTGCAAGGTGAGTAATTTAAGAACAGTTTACTTCTATAGCACAAAGGGATTTTCCGAACAAAATTTCCATCACATATCAACTTGAAGGCTCTTATATCCCTGTGACACTATACCAGAACAATTCGTGGTGTTTATTCTTTTAATGGTCTACTAGAAGTATTGTTTGAGACAGGGATACATTCTTACACAGCTTTCAGTAACATTACTGTCATTGAATGAAACTTACAACTTAAAAATTAATTCGCCACTTACGCTTTACAAAGTTCGAGGTGGAATTTCATTACAGTTCCTTCCGTGAAGCAAAAGTGTTCAAATCACAATAAGTCATTTGCCTGGTACAATGAATTACAATCAAGAAATTAAGCATAAATGCATAAGACCACATTCTATTGATTGATCGATATTACTATACGGATATCACTCCTATCAACCAGTAGTGTTTGTAAGCTAGACAGAAGTGATCCAAATAAGGAATGTAGGTTCATTCTTTTGCAAATAGCCAATTAATCTGTAAATTTCGAGTATGTTTTACTAGTTAACCAAAGGTTTGATCCAGCTCATAAGAGGCATATCACTGATGCATTTGATCAAAAATGAGGAAAAAACCGTCTGGTGTTTACTTCACTTCAGTCTGACTATCATGCATTACTGGTTGATATGAATGGTGTTCAAATATCCACATGGAACAGTATGTTAATTCCTTTCCTGTCTACCCGCTGTTATTCTTTATTTTGTGTTAAAAACTTATACTACTTACTGATGGCAAGTAGTATGACTTTATATTTGTTACATTGTAACTATTACTTGATTGCTTTTGAAGTTTAACTCAGTGTATTAATATTAATAAGTCATTTCTTCTATACGGGTTAGAAAGTTGCAGTGAGCGTCGCGAAAAGGATTTCCTACAAGTTACAGATCTTTATCAGCAGCTGCCACTTTCGCTGGGTCCATATTTAAAATCAAATGGTCAGCCGGTTAGAAAGAATCAGTGAAAAGAAACTCTGGCTGGGAAAAAGCCAACCAAGAGCCGACCAATCGACAAATATGTGGAGGGAAATGGAGATGGATGAATTGGGAATACGTTGAAGAGGCCGTCGAAAGTCATCTCGCACCAGGCATACCCTCAATTGGGACCCCAATGGGAAGCGATGAGTTGGTTGTTGATGCGAGGGTGACATGGAGGAGATCGTGCAAAGAGAAGGAGATAAGAGATGATAGACAATTACAGAGCCAGTTGAAGAGGACAGCAGAGAAGTGAACCAAGTGGAAATGTGTTATTGAAGCCTTATATTTCACTCGAAACCCAATAGAATAATAATAATTAATACTCTGCTTGGTATAATGTAACCTTTTCTTTATAGCTAAAAATTATCTGCTGTTTATGCTTTGTTTATATCTCCTTCTTTGTTGAGCATCGTTTATTCAAATCCATTTATTCTTTATCTCACATTCGCATGCTGTTTAGTATGACCGTGGGTCGCTTTTGACACAGCTTTGACGTTTTTCTTATTGATGTATAGTGACTGTGCGTTTGATGGCATTCAGCGACAAACACTCAACAATTTGAGCGTTTTCTATTATATTTCACTAATATATGTATAATATAATGTCGCACTTTAGACGTATCCTGTGTTTCTGGATTTTACATGTTTCTAAACGTGTAGTTTATCTAATCGATTGCATTATAGCTCCAAATTTTTTAGAAGAATTCTACACAGTAGTATGTAGCACCATACATCTTTGATATTATTTGAAAATTTTAGAAATTTTATCAAATCTGGAATTTTTAAAGTTCAGGTTAAATATCTTCAATAAATTAATTTATGGTTGCAGACTTTAAATGAAAGTCTAGACTGTGAAACAATTTACCAAAATCCCATTATCATAATATCAGACGTCTGATACAAGCCTATCTCGAAAAATCCGGTCAACAATTAGTTTGATTGATATATTTTGATAATTATGGACAAGAAACGAAGATATCTATTACTTTTGCTTATCTTAAGCACAATAAAAGTGTCTTCAAGGAAAACATTCCTAATGTGAATTTATTCCTAATATTTCTATTTACTTGCAACAGGCGGCTACCTAATGAGATAAGAATGTAACCTGAAGGTCGTGGGTCCGATCTCCGACTTACTCATGTTTATTCCCTCCTGACGAGTTCGAAACTAGGGCAGAACCGTTTTCTGGCGTTCCTTTATTCTAGGTGGTAAGTGAACTGAGGTTTATTTACGATGAAATCTACACTGAGATCGAATTTGGCAGTCTTACTATTTTCTTAATAATATACATTCTCACTATTATGATGGCTGTATTTATGAAATGAACATTATCTCAATCAAAAAGTCACAGCAACTCTACGCATACTGAATGCACGCTGATCTTCCCTGTAAAACCTACACTTTCTTAACTTGTTACTAAAGAAAGATATTGCTAAAAGCTGTCAAAGGGTTTGACAGTGAGATATCTTTGACCTGCCATCAGTGCTGAATGGATTCAGAACAATTTCTATTCTTACCCTGAACTACTGGTCTTTTATTTCAAATTTATCCTTGTGTAGAAGCATAATCCTTCATAGTACACAGTAAATAAGTTGTTCTTTAAAATTACGAAAAAAATTTAATAAATTCACTTACGATAGTTGATAACGCTTTTGGCAGATTTTTGTTTATCTCTTAGACTTGTGAACATTGTTGAGGTAAAAAGGCAGCTAGAAATGATGGGGAATGTGTATTCTTTAGTTAATCATCTCTACTTCAATCAATATTCTTAGTGTCTTGATAATATCATTATTATAAATCATTGTAGGAGCTGATCCAGAAATTAAGAACAATTGTGGTCTTCATATCTATTACAACTGTGAAGAAAGAAGAGCTTGGTTAGTAAAAAATTTGCCTGGCTTAAACTGTGGTATATGGAATGCAAGTAAGTCTTTGTTTTACAAAAACACCTTAAGTATTCAGTCAGTTTAAACCCTATTTAGTCTTACATTTGGTCTTCTTTTCATATATCTGTCATTCAAGGACAATAAATTTCGTAGAATACATTAAATTTAATGGATTTCGTTTAAACTACTCACAGGATATAGTTCAGTAAAGCTGTTAACCGTCAAATTTCATGATAGTCGGAGATGCTATTCCTGTACCAGCAGAAGACAAGGGTCAGGCAACAGATCGTTTATTAAGGAATTCAAGAGATATTTATATTTTTTTATGTACATTATTATTGGTTATTGTTAGCAAAGAAACAGCGTCTTCTGATTGGTCATTTTCTCACTGGAAGTTATTCTGGCATCTCTTTGTGGCCGTTTCTTTGAAGGTCAGACGATATATCTGCTAATCGTACGGGACGTAAACATTGACGTAAATTGTTGTCTACAATTTTGTCTGCAGACACCTCTCACCACAATATCTCTATCTTTCTTGTATAATTTTTATTATATCTTCTCCACTATTTCTTAGTTAGAAGAGAAGATCTATCTAAAGTAGATTATTATTTATCCTGCTGGTGTCGAACTGTAGCAAATCAACCAAGTGGAAAAAGTTTATTCGAATGTGCAATGTCAACGGGTAATTATGAATTAGTCAGACATATTGATCAAGCACGTAATACAAATGAGTTGATTGCAGCAACATTGGCATTAGATTTAAACTATATGGAAAGTCTTTTATCGACAAAGATTGGTAAGTTTAATATAAATCAAGGTGTGGATATTTGAACTTAGTCATTTTAACTAGCCAACGTTTCACTATTATACTAGTTACCATCAGTCCAATTTAATGTGAACTAGTGAAATACATTCTTTGTGATGATATTTGTAACAACAGAAGACAAGGGCCAGACAATAGATCGTTTATTGAGGAAAATCAACACATATTTATAGATTTTCATGTACATTATTATAGATTATTTTTAGCAGAAAAACGCAATCTTCTGATTGGTTGTTTCTCACTGCAAGTTAATCTTTCATCTCTTTGTGGCTGTTTCTTGAATGTCAGATCATCTATCTGCTAATTCTATCCGCCTACGCAAAGTCTTCTGTGATTGGTTGTTGAGTCAGTCTTTGTTCTTGTTTTCACATGACCAATATTTGAGACATAAACATTCACGTAAATTACTGTCTACCAATTTCGGCTAGCAGACAGCTCTCACCACAATATCACCTTGCATTACGTCGAAAAGTTTGTCAAAATTTAAATCTATGGGAGAATTCAATCTGGAAATATGTTTCAACGATCTAGTAAGGTTGTGGTGAGAGCTGACTGCTAGCCAAAGTTGGTAGACAGTAATTGACGTCAATGTTTATGTCCCCGACATTGGTGGTGAGAAAATGAGAACAAAGCCTTTGCGTAGGCGGATACAGTTAGCATATGGATGATCTGACACAGACACAAAGAGATGCAAGGTTAACTTTCTGTGAGAAACAACCAGTCAAAAGACTGTATTTTCTACTAACAATAATCTACAATAATGTACATGAAACTCTATAAATATGTGTTGATTTCCTAAATAAACGATCTGTTGCCTGGCCCTTGTCTTCTGTTGTTACAAGGTAACAAGTACATTCAATAAGGGATAACTAGTACAATTCAGAGTAATACTGGATTTTCTGCTGTTTGAGAAAGCATGAATTTATCTCTGAGATGTGATTCAAAACTGGAGATTACTCATGTATACTACAGATTCAGATAAATCAAGTAAATAATCATGGATAAAATTATTCTACTCAACAAACTTGTTATTTTAAGTGAATTCTTAACTAGACAATCTTAATTAAGTCAACACAGGAGGAGTGGATTAAACAACATAAACTCTTCCGATGGTTGGACTGTTTAAAATAGCTTTGTGTATGCAGACTACTACTGATGGTTCAGAGACTTAAGACCACAAAAAGAAGCATTTCAGACAGTATACTGCAGACTTCCATCAACACCTGCCTTTTTAGGACTGTGTCATAAAATCAGCTACTCAGCAAATATGTAGAAAGAAATAAAGGTGGAGGGAACCTTCATATGTCAGGTTGTCGAATGAAACCGGAACAAGAAGCGACAGTATGGGTGAGAGTCTGACAGCGACATGAAGGAGGTCGTGTGAAGAGGAAATAACAGCTTGCGGGTAATCGTGTGGTAAATTTAAAAGGATAGCAGAGGATAGATTGCAATAAAGATGTACTTATTATTATTGTTTTGTTTAGAGGAACATAGGGCTTCAACTGCACGTCTCCATTGCGTTCGGTTCTCTGCTAGAGTTTTCACCTGGCTCCAAGTCTGCCCACACGTTTTCATCTCCTCTTCACATGACCTCCCCCAAGTCACCCTTGCACTGTCGACCAACTCACCGCTTCCCTTTCGGGTTCCACTCGAGCAATGGCTTGTCTAGTAATATCACTTGATGGTTTCCTCAGAGTATGGCCGATCCATATCCATTTCTTCCTGCCTATTTGTTTCACAATTGGTTCCTGGTTGGTTCGCTCCCAGAGATCCCTGTTACTCATCTTTTCTGGCCATCTGATCTTGAGCATTGAGCGAAGATAGCTAGCTGTTGATGAAGGTCTGTAGTTTGTTTGAGATGCCCTTTATGACGCGCAGTGCAAGTCTCTGATCCGTATAGTAGCACTGACTGATTTCCCATTGGAGTTGAAAATCCGGATCTTATTTTTGATGCTGAGTGTTGTTGACCTCCACACAGACTTGAGAGTAGTGAAAGCTTGTCTTGCTTTTCCGATTCTTGCTTTGATATCCTCGTCAGTTCCGTTCGCCTGTAGTTGAAACACTGCTTCCCAGGTAAGTAGGTAGGTAAAGGAGGTTACTTCTTTCAGATTCCTCCCACTTATGCTGATTATCGTCTGTTGTTATTGCTGCTATTGTTGTTGTCCAGGAATCTTCATCACTTCTGTTTACTCTGTGTCCACCTGAAGTCCTATCTTTGATGCTTCTTCTGCCAACTTGTTGTTTTCGCTTGCATGTCTTCCAGTTTTTGGGAAATCAGACATATATATGTCATCGGCGAGGTCCAGATCCTCCAAGTTTTTTCTGTGAGCCCATTTCATGCTTGTCTCCTCACTGTTCAGCCCACTGTCTGTCGCATTATCCAATCTATCGCAATCAGGAAAACCATTGGCGATAGTAGGCAGCCTTGTCTTACTCCCGTCTTTACTTCGAAGGATTCCGTAAGTTTTCCGTTGTGGATTACTTGGCAGGCAGCATTGTCCTACAACTGTTGGATGAGATAAAGATGTACCCGATGTTCCACTTAGAACTCAAGGAACAAATAATAATACCTATGCGTTGGGTGATGACTGAAGGCGAAATGATATGAAAGGGGATCTAGTGTGGTAATAAATGGACATCTGGAAGCTATTCATTCACATGACAGTTGTGCGTAAGCTGTGATGACTATAATGAAATCATGATCTAGTTAGCAGCTGAGTCTCCTAACTTACCTGATAGTATTCTCAAATGGTGATTCAAAGGTCGCTTGTTTGGATCTTCTAGCAGCAAAGATTTTCATTTCACCTTCAAGTATAAATCAACAATTGTATTTTAATGAATAAATTTATTGTAATAATGAATGAACTTTACAGTTAGTACTTTTATAAACTCAAAGTTTATTGATAAATACTGATAGACAGAAATGAATGTGAATAAGTTTTGAATCTGTTTGGATAGTTTTGCAGAGTTCCGCAAGCACAAACTCTACTAATTGACAAATTCTTCATCTGGCTTCACAATTTCTACCTGGAAGTATATGACATTTGAAATATATTTAAAAATGGAATAGGACAATATACTACTGTATGTCATTACATTAAAAAGTTCATGTGGTTCAACACAAGGTCTCATTTCAACCAATCAGATTAATTTTGTTTTAATTAAGTCTTACTGATAGTCAAGGTAATTGGGATTCTCAAGGTCACCATTCCAAAACTACGTATCTAGGATAGAATGAATTGTATTAATGGACAAATTTAATAATATAGAACCTAAATTACTAGGATTTGGATCACTGACGTCATACACATCTCTCTAGATAAGGACTATTGCTGTCATTTGCCATGTGAACCAGTGATATGTAACTGTTTGTGCGTAACTAAATTGATTAACTTCCTAGTTAAGTGTTATAATCTTTATTGGAAATGAGAAACAACATACTGACTGACATAGTGATAAAATTCTTAGTCATTTCATTCGTAGTTTGAATATGAACAGACTTCATTTAGAGAATCACTGAAAGCCAGATAGTACTAGATGGCTGTTTCATTCTTGTTTAAGACCATTTAAGAGTATATACCCATGGCTACGCCTGGGACGAAAGCTAGGATCTTCAAGTTACAAGATGAGCTTGTTGTCCATTCGGCCAGTAGTACAGGATCAGATGGACAATAGATCCTAACTTCTAGCAATCAGATGTCAGCCAGTACTTGTCCTTACACCAAACTGGTGGGGTCATTTGTGTGTACTACTGAAGAGTCCCAAGTTAAGACGAAAGAGCTGTCCCATACCCCGTGGTTTTCAGTGTTCCTCTAACTGAAGTCCATTCATGATCAAACTTGAAATAAATCCAATCCCTGCAAACCAACACTTAAGGAAACTTCATTATTAGTTGTTTTCAGGTGTTCGAGTGAGGCTGTAAGGTATAATTTTTCTCAATATCAACTATTTCTCACAAGTTTAAACACTTATTAGACAAATGAAGTTGAAACTCGGAAAAGACAAGTGTATTTTTATCATACCATCTTCGCTAATTGTTTTCCATGCTAAATTTCGATAATATCTTAACCAAAATATGTATTTTCTTTTAAAAATTTTCTTCAATGTTTTAGAAAAAGAAAGGTGTCAGGTGAACAAATGTGATGTAACCTTTGATCCACCTCGCCCTTTAATCGCCGAATTAAAAATGTTATATGGTTCTGAAGCAAATGAAGCTGTTGAATTGCTTAAAAAATATGGGACATCTGATGAATTACTCTACCATGGTAAGATATAACACTAATGTAAAGTTTCTATTGATTATAAGTATTAGATTAAATCACATTTGTATGGAATGAAATAACTGTACTCGAGGAAATGTATGTTTAAATAAAGATGTACTCAATACTTTCACCGTTATTGACTGATATTTTAAGGACACACCAATCATTGCGTTCATAATGACTACAAACAAATCATATTCTATAAATTTATTTAAACTGCAGTTGATTTTTCGAAGGGTCTCAGTTTCAATGCATTTCCAGCTGTCATCAGATGATTCTAAACATCCTAGTTGACAATGTCTACAACAATCTATATCTCTCGACTAAGCTAAAGTAATAGAGCTACTAATTTGAAGTTGAGTAAACAGTCTGCCTAAAAACTAGCATCAACCCTAGTAATTGAAGGGTAAGCAAATTTTGACTGTGAAGATGATTCTAACTAAAAAATTTGTCCAGTGTCAATGACCAGTATCAATAAAGACTTCTAGATTTATTAATGTTTCCCTCCAGCCATGTTGAATAACACTGTAACTAAAAAAAATTACTGAATACGATTTCAGAGACGAAGTATGGATTACTTTTTAACTAATTAAAAATGTTCATTAAAATTTTCAAAAGAATGGATACTGAACAAAGAGTATTTTTCGATAAATTCATCATCAGGCTGTACAGATGAATATAAATTATAGTGAATGAATGAATTAGTGTTATGAACGACATGAATGTTTAAATAACATCCAATCAGTAATAATATCAACAGGTTACAGTTCAGTAGCATCAACATAAAATAAGCTGAATGTCAGAAAAATTAGGAAAGATAATATTACAAATTCATGAATTTATAGTCTCCACTAAAGGCTGGCCAGGGCAGTAGTAGGGGCTTCTTTTGAACACACAGCACTGGTTGTTTGAGGCGATTTGCAATAGCCTCTGCTGTTTGGAGCATGTGGTGCTTCGACGATTTAGGCAATTTGTTAGGCACCCTGTAGATTATAGAGAGGGATTCTTCCACGCTGGCTTTGTGGCTGGTGTAGGATTATTTTTGTCCTACAGATTTAGTCCTTCCTTAATACTGACGATACAGAGTCTCGGCTTAGCTATAGTTAAAAACAGGATGACTTGACTTTAACTTTATCTGTTTCTAAAACATAAAATAAACCGTACAATTACACCAAGAAAAATGTACAAATCCATTGTCATTACAAAAATAGGACAAAAACGTACCGAACAGTATTGAAGGTACGGACAAAATGAACAGTCAATTAATTACATGTATATACAAGTAAAGTGACAGACAAAAAAGAACATTCAAGGTCATCACGTGGTGAGAGTTACAATAAATCGACCAATAATCGCGACAAAAAAGGTCACATAATATTGATTGGCTGTTTATCATACAGTCTATCTATCTATCGCGATTAACACTCCCCGCGAACGATCACCACGTTGACCTTTCGTACGCTTCTTATATCTTGTTCCACTTCTTGAGCTGAAGTTTTCAAACACAGTGTCCTGACGTGGCCATCTTGGTCATAGTACATCTGCTTAACTATAGCCTTTCGCCAGAGACGTCTCTGTGTGTCAGCACTGTTAACTAAGACGAGATCATCAGGTTGTAGGTTGTGCTTTATATCCAACCGCTTAGATCTTGTTTGCAGCATCAGAAGATATCCACGTAGCCATTTATGCCAGAGCAAATCAGTCAAATATTTTGGAAGTAGTTGACTATAGTGTTGGGAGAAAGCATATCCATACATAGCATTCGCTTTACCTTTGTAATACTGTAATTTTCTTAAGAATTCACCAATTGCTGAACGAGCCGACGTTAAAGGCCTTTTTGGAACTAAGGAAATACACAAATCAGATGCATTGTCCTCACCGACTACTTTATGCGTACGTCCCATAGAATCGTCAGCTTCAGTCGAAACTCGCAGAATCGCATAATAAGCACAATAATGTGCTTGACACCATGATCCAATGTCATCAGCATTTTCTGCTGGAGAATAAAACTCCATGGAAGTTACAACTGAAGGAATCATTGACAACCAATTGATATAGACTGCATCTGGGATATCACCTTGAGCACAGTTGGTATTCAAACCGAACTGCTCCAGAACAAGAGGTAAATCAGATAAATAAATTCCAACGCACTCAGCTTGACACTTGTCTATTGCAGATGAAAGGTTTGAAAACTTGCTGTCATACGTTTCTCCTGCTTCACACCAACCTTTTACAGGATCTGCATTTATGACATATTCAGTAGTTTTCGTATGGAAATTTCGTTTTCCATAACAATCACGCAGAAACAGTTTACCAGAACTATATCCCATCAGTTCATGAAGTCCAACTTTTAATTCAAAGGAACTTTCAGCATGTTCCACGTACATTTGTTTGTCTTCATTACGTAGAAATTCTGGTTTAGGATCCTCGAGACGAACACTAAGTACATTATCCAAAGAAACGTTTTTAAATCCATCAACTTGTCGTACATCATCATAGTTAGGAATATTAGTTCTAACAGGAATCCCAGCAGTTTCAAACGTCGCTACATCCAAACTAGTAAGGTCTGGCTGTAAGAAATTAACTTCTTCAAATGTAGAAGGCCATGGTAAACTTGTTAACAACCTTTCAGCATTATTCACAAGTCGTTGGAATTTTTTAGACACTGATCTATTTACAACAGCGACAAATGATTCAAACCCAGCACGAACACCAAAGGGATCACGGTATGACTCTATAAACCCAATATACTTTTCAACAACAGGGTTCTTATCTTTAACCCATAACCTGAAGGCATCTTTGGGAGAGGCTACTGAGCCAGTAGTGAAGCTTTCAGCATACTGATGCCACATTTCTGATTCGATTTGGTTAAGCGAATGTGCTTTAAAATCTTTACAACAATCGACTAGTAACTTCATCAGCTCACTACAGTCACCATATTCAAGCTGCAAAGATGTGTCCGAGGGAAGGGCATCTCTTAACTTCTCACGACGTTGACTTAGAGGGATTTTCAGGTCATGGTAACGTTGGGCTAACTGTCTTTGTTCTTCTTGGATAATAGGAGCGTCGAGATGACTTTCTGCAGCAAGCGTGTCAGCCTGGACTTTGAATGCATCTATACGTTCACGATGAGTAGCTACATCAGATTCAAGCAAGTTGTGCAGCTTTTGTGCGTTCATCACACCGTTTAGATCACGACCGACATCCTCTGAGGCTATCTGAGCTTCAACATAATTCAACCATAACTTGACATCTACGTTACGAGCGAACTGTTGTTGCCTACTTGCTTGATCTAAATTTTTCTTCTTGTCTCCCATGGCATTTACGAGATGAGACCAAGTTTCATCCAACTGTTCAATCTTTACTTTTATTTCTGGCGAGTTGTAGTGGTTTGCATTTAACAAATCCTGACCTGTCTTTTTAATATCTTTGACGCGGGATTGGTTCGCTTGTATTTCTGCCTCGAAATTCTGGTGCTTCTGCATCTTTGTTTGCAAATTCGTGGAGTCTTTGTAACTTTCATCAAGTGCATATTTAAGTTTTCTTGATATCCATGACTGCATTTCATCTGCATCTCTATCGAACATTTGGTAACGGTGGGAATCTTCAAGACGCTGACGGCGGTTCTGAGCTTTCTCCTTTAATGCATTTCGTCTAATTTGAAGACCTTCCTGAATCTCATGAACCTGCGCAGCCGCATGGTGGTTTGACTCGATTAAGTTTGCAGCGAATTCATCAAGTTGTCGCATCTTTTCTTCTTGTTCTAAAAGTGACTTTTCGAAGTCTTCATGTTTCCTTATGAGTGCTTCCACAGAATAGAGTGAGTCTCCCACATCTTTTATTTCTAAGAGGGCCTCTTGCTTACCAATCCAAGATTCTGACTGTTCAGCGTCGCGGTAAAAATACTGAAGGCCCATACACTGTTCTAGCTGTTCACGTCTTTCCTCACACAACTGCATCAAGGAGGCTCTCTCTCTTTCAAGGGTGGAAAGTTTAGCAGCTATGTCTCCATTACAGGGATGGCCAACACTTAGTAATGCCTGACCTTCTTGCATGCATGTATCGAAACTTTCAGCTCGAGAATTTATCTCAGCGGTGTATTCCTTATGTCGCTCTACTTGGGCTTCAGCACCAACTACATCCTTTGCCAAATCATCCGCCAACATTAACGTCTTCATGTCATTCATCCAGATACTCAAGTCTCTCCAGTCAGCCGAAAAGCGATGCATCTTGAATGACTCTTCCAGTTTACCTCTCCTATCTACAGCCTGACTTTTCAGCTTATCCCATGCAGTAATTAATTCGTCATACTTGCCTTGTATAGTGTCTTGCGAATCAGGATGCTTCTGTGCAAGCGCCTTAGCATCATCTCCAAGTCGAACAATCTTTTCATCTGGGGCAGTCAAATCCCTTTCTAATGCTTCGTGCTTCCTTTGTAAGGCTTGGACTGAGGCAAGATCACGACCACAGTCCTCAATGGATAAGGGAATAGACTTTTCATTCACCCACGATATAGCTTTATCTGTGTCTCTAAAGAAGCACTGTATCTCATAGGCTTCCAGGAGCTTTTCTTGTCGTTTTCTAACCAGATCCTTCAGACGTTCTAGAGCTTCGCGGACCTGTCTGAACTTTTCTATGACTAGGGCATCCTCAGGAAATTTCTCTTTTAGAAGTTCATCTGCCTTCCGATAGATGTCTTCGACACGACTTTCTTGATTTTCGAGATCTTTTGTAAACTCATTAAACCCTTTTTGAAGTGTCTCAACATCTTCCAAGTCTTGACCTAAATCCTCTGATGTTACGTAAGTTTCGTTTTCACGTATCCAGAAAAGTATTTCGTCGACTTGGCGTAAAAACTGGACAAATTTAAGCTTTAGGTTAATGACACTGGATTTTTCTCTGAAAATAGCCATAAGCCTTTTCCACAGGGCATGCAATTCATCAAGACGGTTTTTGATAATATCTGTTGCGTAGTACCCCTGACCAATCATTTCTTCTCCCGTAGAATCTAGAGCTGAGAGTGTTTCAGCATGAACTGTTACTTCGAACTCAAACTCTTGATATTTCTGTTTTTTCAGCTGAAGATTACTGAGTTCTTTAAAATCCTCATTTGTATATGTTTGCAGTTTTTCATTGATCCAACACTCAAGTTCATCGGCATTCCACTTAAAATATTGATATCCTTTAAGTATGTCCAGAAACTTAGATATGGTTCTGGCGGACTCATCATTAAGAGATACAGCGACTTTATGGGAAGTAGAAGGTTTGTAAGGCGATTTATTGTGACAAGAACATTCGCGACTACCTTGTCGTAATCTTTCTAATTCCATTTCTTTCTCTTTTTGGACTATGCGCAATTTCGCTAGCTCCAATTCTATCATATAGCGTGATTTATCCTCATTGCTTTCAGGGAAATCAGCTTCATTACTCTTTCCTAACTGTGGAGTTAACGACGGCATAGTTTCATAACTTTTGTCTGCCATATTGTTCGAAACTTTCGTCTGTAATACTGTTCGAAACTTTCGTCTGGAATACTGTTCGAAACTTTGTAGGATTATTTTTGTCCTACAGATTTAGTCCTTCCTTAATACTGACGATACAGAGTCTCGGCTTAGCTATAGTTAAAAACAGGATGACTTGACTTTAACTTTATCTGTTTCTAAAACATAAAATAAACCGTACAATTACACCAAGAAAAATGTACAAATCCATTGTCATTACAAAAATAGGACAAAAACGTACCGAACAGTATTGAAGGTACGGACAAAATGAACAGTCAATTAATTACATGTATATACAAGTAAAGTGACAGACAAAAAAGAACATTCAAGGTCATCACGTGGTGAGAGTTACAATAAATCGACCAATAATCGCGACAAAAAAGGTCACATAATATTGATTGGCTGTTTATCATACAGTCTATCTATCTATCGCGATTAACAGCTGGTTTGCACCAGATGGTCCAATATCGAACTGTTAATAGTTTTAACTACACCTTTACTTAGCCATAGTTGGAGATGTTCTCGAGTGAGCACGAAAAATCAATTTCTTTGAGCAACGGCCAATATAACTCGCTCCACAAGCGCAGTTGAATTGGTAGATACAATTTGAAGTGGCTAGTCTAGGTACTTCATCTTTCAGTCGAGGTAGCACCATCGGCCGTGTAGAGAATAATACGTGTAGTTCACCAGCATTAAAAGTTCTTTGAACTGATTTTCTTAATTTCTTCGTAATTATCTCGCTTGGTATATCGCCCATGAATTGTAGTCGTATATAAAGTGGCTTCTTGTTTACAGATAGTGAGTAGTCCTTTTCCGCTTTCTTTGTCATGTGTTTCTTGATAAATTTGTCGGGATAGCCATTTTCGATCAAAGTATCATATACAATGCTTAATTCATCTTCAATTACTTCTTCTGAGCATATAGCTCTAACTCTGTGGCTGAGGGTCTTCACTAAATTTCTTTTGTAATTGATAGGAACGAAGCTGTGAAAATGTGTATATTGTTTATTATTTATTACTATTTAGTTGATAATGATTAGTCTTGAAATCTAGGATGCTTATTTCGTCCTATTTGGGACTCCTCAACCAGATAGCTGTATCATCAATGATAGCTGATGTTTTCGAAATTATTTCAGAGTAAGAACTAATTAACAGCATAGTATGTAGTCAGTGAAAAACCATGTATAGTTCACCAAGTAGCTAGTGAACTAATAAGTTTCAAACTGAATTTCTATGACAAAAATAATATAACTTTTACCACAAATTCATTCAGCTATCCAACTAATTGTATGGAGTGGCCATCTTTTATCTTTCAGAGGCAGTCAAACAGAAAAAAATGGCCTTTATCAACTCTTCATTTTATCTGCAAGTGAAAACAGCCAGAACAATGTTAGATTTAAATAAAGCATGGGAATTAATCGATCAGCCTTCATTTCAACCAAAACTTCGTAGACATACAGATCAGGCAACTTATTTGCATTTTTTAGTTGAACGGTAAGTTTTTTTAGCAGTTGCTTAAATTGATCTTCAGATCATTCATTACAATTTGAGCTTTGCTAAGTATTTTGAAAAATTTTTATTCTTATTTAAATAATATATTCATTAAATTCACTGACGTATAAGTATGTCTCAGATTTTTGTCAACATTGTAACCTGGTTTCATTCTTGGAAAATCGAGTTTTGAGGATTGAATTTTGGTTGGACATTGAATTGAATTAACTGATAGACTTCAGTCTGCACCAAAAAAGATAAACACAAACATTACACCAGATACTGACTGGCGTCCAATTAAAAATATCCAATACAGTCCTACAGGAGGTCAATCGCAAGCCTGAATAGCTAAGCGGTAGCATCTCTTACTACGACACTGGGTGATGCTGGTTCAAGTTTCAGAATGGACATGAGTCCCTTCGACGTTGTAAATATGCCTCGCTGACTGTTGAGTGCCAATTAGCACAAAACGTAGGTCCAAGTCTTCCTGAGGGTTGAATACTACGAGGCTGACGTTCCAAATTTATTGTACATTTACATATACTACTGACTAACATGAATAGTAGTCGAATACAAGTCACGCAAATTAGTATTTAAACTATCAAAATAACAAAAATATTTCATATTATAAACATTTGCTTTTTACATTCTAAACCATACGAGTCATTCAAGTTGACCTTAAGAAGGCTTAAGGACCCTTCATACACACTCAAAATCTGTAAAAAATTAGAGTAGCTCTCTGGTATTTGTATTTCACCAATTAAATTTACTGTTATCACCTAATTTAACGTTTTGGTGTCGTTTATTTCATTTGAACCTACAGCTGGTGTAAACCAGCTGAAGTGTAGAGTATATCCGAATATTACCCATGCGTTAAGTTCATTTGGGTGGATGTTACAAAGACAATACAATATAGTGGGAGTAAGAGAAATGTGACACTGCTAATTTTAACTATTCTAGATTTTGCCAAGTTTTTGTGTTCCACTAATCTAGTTGACTTCGTTATACTTTTTTTCACTAGTTGACCCTAATAGAGTAGGAAATCTAGGAAATAGCTCCGGTACTGCACTACATATGGTTACACACAACCATACAATAGGATGGGATAAGATGACAGTCTTGAAATCTAATGGAACACGGTGGAAAGATGGATGTTTGTCGAATCAACGCAGAATACGTGCAGCACAAATGATTCAACACCTATCCCAAACACATGGAAAATTCCGCCATCCCTAGGACAAATGTGCAGGAAGAAAGAGACTTATAAAGCTCAAGTTCCAAAGCCTATTAGTTACAGTTGATGTGATTATGAGCAATCTACTGTGTTAGAAATTTTATCCAGTAAAACATACTGTTTCACTGTGTGACTTATTCCATAAATTAATATGGAATTGCACTCTACGAATTTACACATATACTAGTATGATATTTCCTTTCAAATTTATGGGGAATATCATAATTAAGAGGTTAAAAGATTTCTAAAAATTGTGCAAGTGAAAAACAATGTGACTTGAGGTTATATTTGATTGATTAAAACACAAACCATAAGTAACTTGAAGGAAAATATGTTTGATGAGAGTGTTTTGGTGACCAGAAGTTCAGGTAGATCGTTAGATTAAAGAACAGTTGAAGTGAAAACAAAACAGCATGCCACAAACTGAGCTAAGAAATATATTCCATTTCAATTAGTTCCTTATCATCTACCCTACACTAATATATAGTCTTTTACATCAAAATTATACCAGTCATAGGGTTATTTTAGTCCATAAGAATTCTCAGTGCAAGATGCTCACGGGGTATTGTCAGTTCTCGGGGTTGTGACAGCGTATGGGGCCCTTCTGTTGTTCGTTAATTTTTATGAAGCTTAATGATGGCCTCCTTCTGTTTGGCGACCTTAAGGGCGATGTAGGATTACTTTCGATGACACATTCTCTCACTTTATCGTGCAGTAAACCCTCTTCGAACTGATGAAGGATATGGGAGCTTATCTCTGCTGCTGAGTCTCTTTCAAAAGCCACAGGAGCCAGCTCTTGTAGGCGCCAGAGGTATTCCTCTGTACTTTCGCCACTGCGTTGGACACATGCATGAAAGGCAGCCCGCTGCCCGAGAACATGGGTGTGCGGCCCAAATGCTCAACGCATGGCCGTGAACAGCTGCTCTACCCCCAACGTCTCCTAAGTGTTAACTCCGGCCAACTTGAGGCGTTTCAGTGCATGTATCAATAACGAGCTGATAATGGCACTAGCTCTTTGGTTGTCGTCGAACTGTTGAATATAGCGCCGATATTGTTCTTCCTATAAGGTGAACGATTCCCTTGGGACAAACTTTTCTGGTGCGGGGAATTTTACTTTGAGTTTGTTACTTGAGGACTGTACTATTGTGTCAGTAGTCATCAAAGCTATTCGAAATGCTGCGACCATTGCTTGAATCATGTCAGAAGCAGGCGTTGAGGTCGACGCTGTCGGTGGGGTTGATGACTTCTCCAGTGATGCTATGATATTGTCTTCTTGATCACGAGTGCAAGTATTATCAGCAGATTCCAAATACTTCATATGTCTCTTTGATTTAAACGAGTTTTGCAGGCTCGCCATTTTCTGTAATAGAACAACACAGAGTCGGGTCGAAACACTTTATAATTACCTACCGACTCAATAGAAGAAGTCAAAGTTATATACAACAAAAGAGCTAGGCTATAACTGTTCAGCGAACACCGGGTTTTAAACTGACGCCTTCTCTTTAATTTGCCCCACTACACTTGGTTTTAGATATGACAGGGTGGGGTGAAAATAACACACTAAAAATCATCAAAACAATTAACTAGTAGATGTTAGCAACAAGTTTTGAAGGAAGGGTGAAAATTAATTACGGAATTCACCATCAGTTAATTCGTAGGGGTCAGCAACAAGTTATTCCATAGTCAAGAAATTTTTAAAATATTGACGACTAAGAAAAATATAATGTCTAAATAAAATTTCGTAAAGATACTAAGATACAGACAAGTTAACTGAAATATATAGAATTGAAATCATAACAGAATCAAAAGATAGTTACAAGGGTAGGGAAAAACAGTTTATAAAACTTAATACTTATTATTATAGTTGGTCCCTGCAAAGAAAGGGGTTGCACAAATTTATTTTGAACACACAGATTTGGCCTGTTCAGATGTATTGTGATTACCTCTGCTGTATATAGGGGTAGCACTCATAGAATATATGAAAGGTAAGGTGGAATACCATAGATACCTTTGGGAGCTATGTTTGACTCAACTTGATGTCCAGCATCGTCGAGATGAGCTAGTATTCAGCTGGACATCAAGAGGTTTGAAGTTGTTCCTCAAGTTATACGATGATCAATTAGAAGAAAATTTCAGAAAGTGTTCGAGTTAAATTGATCACTAGAATGAAATCATTCATCGCTTCTGACTTGCAGTGAATACGATATTTAATTAATTATTAATTTTATTCCTTTATGTTGCCAGTGGATCATAGGGCTTCGAGCTACAACTCTGACGTTTCAGGAACCATGGTGTTTATTTTTAGGGGGTGGAGTTGCTAGCCTCATTTCCAACCTTCCCTGTTTACCAGTCTTATTACTGGCTTAGCGAGGTAAAGGAGTGCGTTGGCAGGGGATCGAAATCCGGATCACATGCGTGGTTGGCAAGCATTCTACCGCCGTGCCACTGACGGATACGAATACGATATTACCTAAAATTAAATATTATAGTAACCGGAAATTTGTCTCATGACGATCCGTAAATGAAATACAGACCGCAGCTCTATTATATAAGCGATGATCACTTGAAATATTGGGAAGATATCCAGTGTTTCGACTGTTTACAAACCTGTAAATAGCTGATTATCATTTGTTTAAGACTTTTCACAAGTACTCATTCACGAAAAGATGAAAGCTTTAATCTTCAGCTATTGGGTTACAGTGTCACCGAAATAGAATTGGACTGATCATTATTTCCAACTTCATAATATCTTTGTTGATGAATCTACAGACTTCATCATTAGTTAACACTAAGTTTCTGATAATTTTGATTTTCAAGGATAGCTGGTAAGAAGCCATAATGTTATTCCTTTGGTGGATTTATTCACTTATTTGGTGAACAATATGTTTTTGATTTTAATTCATCCAGTTATAAAAGCTTAAGATGTCAGCCAAATTTACAACGGGGTTTAATTCGCCTTATGGCTAAACTTGCCATATCTGGTGTTGATCTACAAGCACGCGACAGTTCTGGAAATACTGCCTTACTTTATGCTGCTAAAACCAGTCATGTTGTAAATGAGGATGTTACAGAATTAGCCGAAGAACCAGTTTCTGAACCTTGTGATGAAGAGGAAAATGAAGAAGTCGACAAGGATGTACAAGAAAATGTTCAGAATAATGAAGAGGAAACGGGTTCTTCAGAACACAGACCTGATAGTGTTACTGAAATAGATAAAACAAAAGTGGGAGAAGATCTCACTGATGTTGGTAATGTAGACAATAAAACAGATGTGATTGGTAGCGAAGAAGTTTCTGTAGAAAATACATCTGATCAGTCCAATACGTCTACACCTATTCTGTGCCGTTCAGCAACAGAAGAGATCAAAGAACCATCGAATTTGTACATGAAAATTCCACATTTCAGTGATCAACGTTTGATTTCTGTTTTGATTCAACTGGGTAATTTAAAAAAACATTTTCTTTGTGAATTTTAAGTCACCAAATTAGTTGTGAAGAATTCTGTGGTATAAGCCAGAATTAGTTTACTTTAAAACAAGTATCTTATAGTTTAGAAGATATGTTCCTCTGGAATCGAATTCATCATTTACCGATTGCTCAGTTCAGTTTGAAACTTCACCACAATTCCTTTTGCAAATCAAAAATATTCAGATCTCAGTGTGTGATTTTCTGAATAAAATAAGTGACATTCAAGAAAACAAGCAAAATAACACTTCTTCAACAAATGATGCGGCTATATAAAAACCACTCACCTCACATACAGTAGTGCTTTCTGGCCTGATCGACAGCCATTTCTTTCATTTCGGCTGAGATGATCATCTGTGCACCTGGATTGTGGCTAGATTATTTTTATCACGAATTTGCAATCACAGCATTCCCACATTAAATAACTAACCAGAGTTGAATTAACTTTACCAGTAGAAAACTGTGGTCAAACTATACAGTGACATCATTTTATGAAAAGTATCATTGTTGGTCTCAAATATGTACAGAGGTGTAGATCACTTGAGTATTTTAGGACACTTAGTAACATGATCTAAAGTAGATCCCAATGAAGCGAATGTATCCACTTCTTATCACTGAGATTTCGGGTTCATACTGTTGAGGAGTCTCAAACTACGACGGAAAAGTGTTCTCCAGTATTCAGCAATTCTCTAGGCCGTATCACTTCATTGGGAAATGTACCTTAAAATAGCAGACTATCAGCTGATGGCAGGAGACAGTCAGATAAAGCCACGTGAAAAAAATGCATCAGGTTCATTCCAACTGTTTATCGTATTTCTCCATCACTACCTAAATATCTAATAATAATATCATTATAAATATCACAGTAACCTTCGTGGCTGGTCCTGAAAAATGTTGAATTGATATATTTGTGCAATAATTGCTCTTGTTTTCTTGTTAATAACTCAAAATCACCTGTATTATATGCTTTTTATATACTTACTTATACTTCATGACACTTCTCATGACGAACGTCTCTTAGGAATCTGTGATGTTAATATTACATAACAAAATTAAATAATATTCACCGTATTAGTAGTCACTTTATTTCCAGACAATATTTCTATTACAGAACGGATTTTTCAGAACAGAAGAAGAGTTGGAACAGCTCTCTACTTTAAATAACTCAAAAGTCATTGAACAAATAGGTTAAATTATTCAATGCGCATAAAAAAACACGTTTTACGCAGTGAGCAAGAGTATTTTCATGCACTTCACAATGAATCAGGTCTGTTCTTTGCAGCATTACAGTGCTTCTCAGCTGACAGTAAATACAGAAAAGTACATGCTCTGAAAACATCGGGTTAAATACAGATCTATTGACCCTATTAGTTATTAAAGAAGAATAAGGGTAAATAAAAACCCTTTTGAGTAAATTCATATTCCTTTTCTAGTCGTTATATTGGATCAAAATGTCCGGTCTCTGTTGATATGTCTGCTCCTCATACGGATGCCTCTTTGATGCATTTTGGTTGTTGTTGACTGACAGTGAAGTCTCATTTGTAACTCATCAGCTAAATTTATCCCCATCTTTGGTAAATGGTAGTGTTCTCACTAAGACTCGAACCCAGCACACGTCGTTCCAAACGCCAGGAGCCTAGTAGACAACCCTTTGGCCTTTGAAACTACGGGTACTCTGTTCAATTCTCATATGGAATAGTATCACTCGCTGGAGATGCAAGTATGTCCACCTGACAAGTTACAAATAGGACGAAATTCATGTCATAGATTCAGCCGCTAGTCTGCATCAACCAAATAAAATATCTCAATAATCAATCACATTCCCAGAAGTTATCCCGTAAATAATATTGCTTCACTGCACAAAATATACATTAAGCAAACCAAAAACATACACTTCATACTTTGATTGGACACTAGTAACTAGTATGATGTGACAAGTCCTTGCTTTGGTGCAGACTGAATTCTATCAGTCAGGTTTGCAATATGGCCATCATTCTAGGTAGTTCGCCATCACGGTGCACATTGATTTGATGATATTAGATAGTTGGAAGCAATCGGCAGGAAGCTTTGGACCTTGGTTTCCCGGGTTCGAATCTCAGGAGGGACATGAATTCCTTCAAGGTTGCAGATACGCATTGCTGACTGGTGATTCCCAACTAGCACGAAACCTAGGTCTAAGGCTTCCTGCCAACTGCTTCCAACCATCTGATATCATCAAATCAATGTGTACCATGATGGCGAGCCACCTAGAATGGTGGCCACACTGCAAACCTGACCATTAGAATTCAGTCTGCACCAAAGAATGGACTAGACACATCACACTAATTACTAGTGTCCAATCAAAGTATCCACTACAGTCCTACAGGAGGTCAATAAGAAGCCCGAATAGCTCTGCGGTCTCGTCTCTGACTGCATTTCTGGGTGATGCAGGTTCGAATCTCAGAGGGGACATGAGTTCCTTCAAGGCAGTTGCAGATACGCCTTGCTGACTGGTGAGTGCCAACTAGCATGAAACCTAGGTCGAAGGCTTCCTGTGGCCGATTGCCTCCAACCACCTAATACATACGCTTCAAAGAATCTTTCACATTTAAATTGCTTAAGACAAGATAGCTCATTTTCTTTCTTTATTATTAAAAAAAAATTAATTTTAGGTTTGGACAGTTCAATCCCATGCAATGATGGTTATTCAGTATATCATGAGAATTATATTCCTAAAGGTGTATACACTATTGCTAGAAATATACAAACCAGTCTACTGAAATGCAGTATTAAACAATCCAAAGGTATGATAGATCATCCCGGCATATGGCCAATTGTCGATAGACTAGTTTACAGTATACAACACAATAAATCAAATGATATAATCAATTACTTTTATACTGAATTAGAGAATACAATTAAAGCAAATCTAATTTGGTTAAAAGCAAAACGCTCTGGATTAACAGTCATAGAATGGATTAAATCATTATGGAGTCATCAAAATCATTGTGAAAAGTCAACTGAATTAATGTCTACCAAAGTGATAAACATGCTACAACGTTATATCAGTTTAACTGACTTCGCCGTCTACGCTTTAGCCGGTGATATAAAACAGATGAAACAATGTTTAGGTGAGTACACATACAAACACATACACTTTGTTGACGATTGTCGTTGACTTCTATGACTCACTGAAGCCATATAGCTCACTGGTAATCCACTTTACTTCGTCAGTAATTAACATGGGTTCATATCTCCAAGAGGGTATCAATTCCTTCAAAGATGTAGATATCTCTTGCTGGCAAGCGTCAACAGGAGGGGAACCCATGCCCAGGCTTTCCTATTGATTACCTTCAACCACCTAACCTACTGAAGTTTCTGACTCAGAAATGAATACAACCCTGATCATTTGCCAGACATAAGGAACAAAATAACGTCCTGTACTATATGCTTATAAGTAGTATTCCTGGAGCGATAGCTTTTTCTTTTTAAGAAATTATTTTGCTTCCTTATATTTGTCTACAGTGCTGTGTATATATAGTGACTCATCGGAATCAGCAATAGCTGACATTTGTCAGTCGTATCTGGAAAGTAATACCCGCATGGTTAAGAGCATTGGAGGCCTGATCTATTCAGCATATGCTGCATGTACATCAGATGCATACTTTTATTCTTTTCGACAAACAAATAAACTATTTAAGCCATTAGAAAACTATTTTCTTACCGGTACGTATTTTTTTATCCATAAAATTTGGCGTGATCCCAATATATGGTGACCACTGCGTCAAATTCAAAAACTTCCTCCCTATAAGTCTTAAGAAGAGTTTATTGAGATTGCTATACAATATTTCAAATAGGTTGAAAGCAGAGAATACACTTAGTAAACAGTATCTGAAAGACAAGGGATCTGAAATTGAAGTTCTTCTAAAATTATAGCGTAAGTGACAAAAAAAGAGTAGGACATCCAGTTCTGAAGAAAAGATGCAGTGTCTCTCATACTTTAGAACCCATAAGTTGAGAAAATTATAGAAAATCATAATGAACATTCCAGAATCATGACAGCTGTAAAAGTTGATTCACTACTTGAAATAGTGTGCTCGTCTTCGTAGTTACCTAGTATATTCACTTCCTACTGTTACACATCTCAAATGTATGAAAACAGTTACAAAAACAAACACTTATTTGATTGAATACATGAATGAAATGGGATAGTGTGTCGAAGGTTCAGATGTCGGATACCAGCAACCATATATATTAGAACAAGACATATAAGTGAACAATATTGTTTACAGGATTTCATCATAAGCTGACATTGGTTAGAGAACCATTGGAAAACCTGGGAGTACTGAACAGCTGTTTCGTCCTAGTTTGAGACTCTTTGGCAGTATGCACCCACCAGGGTTCGCTAACCAATGTCAGCTCATGATGAAATCCTGTAACCAATCAACCAAATCCCTACAAACCAATATTTGAACAATATTGTTTTCAGTTAGATCTTCTTCAGGCTTTACTTTAATTTGCATAGATTTATATATAACAATTTTAACCAATGAACGTGGTTCTGTGGTCCAATTGTTCCAATTATGATCGCTGAAGCGAAAGATAAACTACCTAGCTGTTCCACTTCTTTGTGTATCTACAAATTTAGTTGCTCCTGTGGAGAGAGCTACGTAGGGTGAACAACTAGACAGCTCAACAAACGCATTAATGAGCATCTTCCTTCATGGTTCAGAAAAGGTCAAATGAAATCTATAAGAAGTTCTATTTTGGCTCATTTGATTGAAAGCGGTCACCAAGTGGACAGAAATAGTGCTTCCAAAGTTATCTGTCGCACTCTATCGATCTTTTCGAACCCGCCTTTTACACATAGCCGAAGCTATGTGAATTCGATAGAAAAATCCTAGTCTTTGCATGCAAAAGAATTTTCTTCTACCTCTGTCTCTCCCTTGGCCTAGGTGAATTCTATTCAAAACCCTCCCACCCTTTCTTATTTTCCATCTCCTTCGTATTTTTATGATATTTATTTAAAATCTGATTATCTGTCAACTTCACCATTAGTATTACGTAACTTTTCAGATTTGGCCAAATTTAATTATTGAATTGTCTACATATACACATATCACTACCTTCGTTATTCTTATCGCCATCTGCATCAACCTTATTATCAATGTTTTGTTATCATTATAATCATCGTTATTAACTACGTGCAAAACATTTACCATATTATTAATACTACTATTATTATTTGATCCACAAAATCACCGTCACTGGTTAAAAATTTTTATATATAAATCTATGTAAATTAGAGTAAAGCCTGAAGAAGATCTAATTGAAAACAGCAATATTGTTCGCTTATATGTCTTGTTCTAATATTAAAAATGGGAATATTTATACATTTGAAACCATACATTTAGTCGGGGTTTCATTTCTGGCTGACGCACTCCTAAATGTCTGGTTTACTTCCATAAAGGAAGCTAGGTAAAGAGAGGTGATTGGACATATAGCTATTAAACTCCAGCCGGAAGCCCTATGTCTCACTCTAAACGTAAGGAATGAAGAAAGATCATACAGGACGAACACAGACCATTTTCGAGTTTTATCAGACTATAAGCATACTGTATTACATGCATGACTTTATATATATATATATATATATATGCATTAGCCATTCATTTCACCTTATTAACTGATATCTGCATATATCTATTTTTATAAAAAGCAATGGGTAAAGGTCAACTGAAAGCTCAATTACACATGGAAAAATATTTAATAAGTATCAATAAAAATAATGCAAGAGCAAATTTTATATCACGTCCATTATTGATTAATGTAATGGAATATTCTACACCAGAAGTATTAAAGCTTATGATACAATCTGGAGCTAATTTAAGTGAATATTATTCAGGTTAGTTATTATAACATTGTTCTTGTTTTTCTCGCATAAAAAGAAAATTTATTTTTATTGACTTATTTGTCAATTAAAAAGAACAACTTTACTATCCATATGACCTTTTGGTGTGTGTATGACATATGACCTGACACGTGGTTTGCCTTTCTCTACACTTCATACTGAATATTTGACTAATTTTATTTATGATTCTAAGAATTTATATAAGTAACTAGTACGTGGAGCTCAAGTGTAGCTGTGATTTCTGCTAGCGGGTCCCTCTTCGCCTGCTCTAGCTTAGGCAACTGCCGGGTAGCATCAGCCCTGATAATATAATAATAATAATAAATGTCACTCTGTACCCTCGTACATTAGAAATATGTTCCGGATAGCCGAGTCATACCAGACCAATCAGCTGTTCCTTTTTTTTCAAGTAATAGTCGAAAATAGTTTTTAATTGTGAAATTTAGTGGTTTTAAACAGAACAAGGTTATCTCCTTCATGTAGTCTACGAAGAATGATACAATGAAATGTATACTAGCATAAACATTACTGTGTTAGAACTAATGACGACTATCAGTAGAATCCAGGATGCGCATTTCGTCCTATTTTGGACCCAGCAGCAGGACGTACTTGCATTGAGCAGTGAGTGATGATTTTCCCACCGAGGGTGGAGCCCAGTGCCCATAGTTTCAAACGCCAAAGCGTTATCCACTAGACCACTTGGGCAACATGAGAGTCATCTCTTGTGCAACGGGTTATATTGATTTAATTGAATTTTAGATTTTCCCGTCGATTGATTGGACCGAAGTGCTCGGTCTCAGGTTGACATGTCGGATTCTTGTGCAGATGCTCCGACGATGTCTGGGAATGAAATTAGAGGTTAACTGGTAGTAACCATCCAACAATTCACCTATAATTACATGCCCAGACATCGTCGAAGCATCTGCACAAGAAGCCGACATGTCAACCTGAGACCGAGCACTTCGGTCCAATCAATCGAGAGGGAAAATCTTAAATTCAATTAAATGAAATCATTTCTTTCTAACTGAAAACATATACTGTGCAATACTTTAGACTGCTTTATTAAATTTCCCAATTTTTTTATCTTTATTTTTCCAAAATACATTTCAAGGCATTTTGCTTATTAATGATACTGACTTTTGTTCTTTACTGACATTTTCTGATATACTTATAGATTACTACTTAAGTGTTCTGCACTTATCATAAAGGGAAGTGATAAAGAGCGTCCTAATCTTTTGCATTATAAATTGTATGCAACCTACCGGCTACAGTCTCGTGGCCGGTGGCATAGCGGTTAGGACGCTCGCCGACCATGCACATGGTCCGGGGTTCGATCCCCGGCCGACGTACTCCTTTACCTCGCTAAGCCAGAAGTAATGCTGGTGAAGAGGAAAGGTTGGGCATGAGGCCAGCAAACCCATTCTGTAAGATAAAACACTGCTACAGAAACTTCAAGCCACTAGCTTGAAGCCCTATGTTCCACTGGGGAACGTGAAGAAAAAAAACCGGCTACAGTCTTATGTTAAAATATTGAAATGGTACCCTCTTTTGTGTACAATAATATGCTTTCTTCCAAGCTCCTACTTCTAACTAGATTCATCTTTACAAAATGGTTATTCGATCACATTTTAATCATGCATACAGGGGTCCTGAAAAGTGATTTAAACATATCCAACGTAGCTAGTTTATTTATGCAAATGTGAGGTTTTAATTTTGAAATGTTCCTCCAATGAAGATATCAAACACTCCTCTAGAAATCTCTATATGGAGAACGAACCTACGGTATATGGATGACACATTCATTGCATGTAGAGGTAAGGTCGAAGCCGAGATAATTTTATCAGAATTTAATTCGTGCCACGCTAGTAAAAAAATTCACAGCGGAACATGGAAATAATGATGCTATACATTTCTTGGACGTCCCAGTTGAGTATAAAAGGAGTTTGGTAAGGACATTATTTGATAGAGCAAGAAGGATATGTTCAAGCAGAAGACTAGACTACGATATGAAATTCTTGAGGAACACACTAGTGGGAAATGGGCATTCGGAAAAGCAATATCAGTGACTGTTTCTAAAAAGAAGGTTTATATAAAAGCCCCCTTCAAGTGTGATAATATTACTCAGTTGGTGAAACGTCGCTTAGGAGGAGCCATTGGACGAACCTGTTATGCATTTGGTATCGTTCTCATAAACAACAACGGGGATGGCGCATGAAACAGGTGAAGATAAGATATCAGTTCTCGCCACATCAAAATGTGTAAATCAGTTCTGGTATATTTGTGCAAGCAAATACAATAAGCGTACGGAAAGATGTCTTTCGGCTCGCGTCGCTGAACACTACCCCGAATGGCTTTCTAGTACTCACGACTGTTTTGGACCGTGATCATATGGTGACGTTGAGTAAAAGCTTTACAGTTATTAATAAACAAGTTAATAAAAAAGCTTTTGGTTTTACTGACGCCTACGCAATCAAATTAAAGAAGCCGGATCTATGTATACAAAATGAGACAGTGTGGTGAGATCTGGGTGCAAGGCAGAATTGTAGACAGCAATTTACGTCAGTGTTACGTCCCGAATCGGGGTCATGAGAAAAACAATAACAAAGCTTAACCTTGAGGAACTCACCGACCAATCACAGCAGACTTGTGCAAATACGATTCGCAGATATATGGCCTGACTTTCTGAGAAACGGCCACAAGCAGTACAGAATAACCTTCAGCAAGAAAACAACCAATCAGAAGACGTTGCTTCTCTGCTAACAATAACGAATAATAATGTACATAAAAATCTATAAATATTTGTTGATTTTCTCAATAAACGACTTGTTGCCCGGACTTTCTCTTTTGTCGTTACAACAGTAGTTACTTTAGATCCACCTTGATAGAATATTTTCCCCTTCTTCCTTCTATTTACAATAGTTTTCCATTATTATTATTAGTATTTTTTCCAGCATGCTGTTAGTTTACTTAGTATATGTGCAAGTCGAAAAATCATAGTTAAGTATTAATCTTGGTGAGGGGTGTTCAAACTATCTTATGAGTTTAGATCAGACGTGGTAAAATCTTGTTATTTAGTCCTATATGGTTTACATTTATTAAATTTGTTCATTTGTTTTTTACGATGGTTCCTTGTATTTCAATATTATTATCGTATCTAGATGTTTATAATTGTATTAATTCTACCTCAGGAATACCAGTTTATATGTTAATATGCACTTTAATGAATATTATTCATTTAACAATGACGCCAACAGATTATCACTAACAAAACTTATCGTACATATTTTCAAATTGATACATGCTTTGAATTTACTACGAGAAAGAAATGTTTTCAATTACTATCTGACACGATATCTAATTGATCAAGAAAAAAATCGTCTCGTGTTCTTTACTTTAAAGGAGTCTATAGATTCATTCTGAATATAAAATAGAGAGTGGATTAAAATTTCTAAGTATTACCTTGTGAGGAAACGGATAACTAGCCACATTTGCCTGCTATAGCGTGCATGTAACCCCTACGGAAAAACAATAACGCTACCTCAGCTGTTAGAAAAATATTCATTAAGGTATTTAGAGGTGTTTTATTATTATTATTATTTCCTTTAATTCCTAGAGGAACATAGGGCTTCAGCCACAAATCTCCATTGCGTTCGGTTCTCTGCTGTAGTTTTCACCTGGCTCCAAGTCTGCCCACACGCTTTCAATTCCTCTTCACATGATCTCCTCCAGGTCACCCTTGGACGACCAACTCGTCGCTTCCCTTTCGGGTTCCACTCGAGGGCTTGTCTAGTGATGTCACTTCTGGTTTCCTCAGAGTGTCCAATCCATCTCCATTTCTTCCTGCCAATTTGTTTCACAATCGGTTCCTGGTTGGTTCGCTCCCAGAGATCTTTGTTGCTGATCCTCTCCGGCCATTTGATCTTGAGTATTGAGCGAAGGCATTTGTTAATGAAGGTCTGTAGCTTGTTTGAGGTGCTCTTTGTGACACGCCAAGTCTCTGATCCGTATAGTAGTACTGACTTCACATTGGAGTTGAAAATACGGATCTTATTTTTGACGCTGAATGCTGTTGACCTCCACATAGACTTGAGAGAAATGAAAACTTGTCTTGCTTTTCCGATTCTGGCTTTGATATCCTCGTCAGTTCCTCCTGCAGTTGAGACGATGCTTCCCAGGTAGGTGAAAGAAGTTGTTTCCTTCAGGTTCCTCCCATTTATGCTGATTGTTGTCGGTTGTTGCTGTTGATGTTGGCCAGGAATCTTCATTACCTCTGTTTTGTCTATGTTCACTTGAAGTCCTATCTTTACTGCTTCTTCTGCCAATTTGTTGCTTTTCACTTGCATATCTTCCAGTTTGTGGGAAATCAGACATATATCATCGGCGAAATCCAAATCCTCCAAGGCTTTTGTGTCGGTCCATTTTATGCCTGTTCCCTCGTTGGTTGCCGTTGTCTGCCGCATTATCCAATCAACTGCAATCAGGAAGATCATTGGTGACAGTAGACAGCCTTGTCTCACTCCCGTCCTCACTTCGAAGGATTCCGTGAAGAGGTGTTTTAAAAATTACCTATTCCATCTAGCAGTTAGTCCATTTAAGCATTAGCGACAAAGACTCTCTTCTGGCCATTTCATAATATACTCATCAATTTACATGTTCTAGTCTAGTAAATTACATTATAAACAGCGCTAAGTCCTTAAGCATATCTGACAAAGTTTTCCATTCATTTTAGGCAGAAAAGAAAAGATATACCAGTATCTCTATTCCTAAGTATCTCGTCATCTCTGGATACCTAGCCTTTTCTCACCGTTGTTTATTTTTATTCTTCCTGTGAGTTCTCAGGGAAACAAAGGGCCTCAGCAGCATATCTCCCCTATATTCTGTTTTCTGTCAGCTTTTCTGTTGGCTTTCCAGCTGACTACAAGCTTCCATTTCCCCTCACATGACCTCTACCATGTCACACTCTGAGCCACGTTGAACCCATCGCATTCGGATCTCACTTGAGGGTCTGAAGTGTGAAGTCACAAAATGGTCCCATCAGCGTTTGTCAGATCCACCTATATTTCCTTCTGCATCTTTATCCGGTAATATGTGGCTGGTTGATTCTCTGCACTGCTTATCATTTCTGACAGACCATCTTATCTTAAATACCTGTCTCACTTTCGAAATTCTTGCTCTGACACTCATCCTCACCGCCTATTCTCACAGCAGATTTGAATGATTTAGAGATTCCCCAGTTGACACAATGAATGCCTTCAACTATGTTATCCTTGTTTACAAAGATCGTTGATAATTCTTGGCTATTAACCCTACCTTTGATTTCCCTTCCTTAACTAATTATGGCCCGAGTAGCATCTGTATACGTTCATTTCCGTATATTTTTATCCATTTTTTCTCTCCTTTCAGTTCTACCAGATTTTAAACTTTTAGGTTGTGAAACATGTACTTATATTTCTTTAATTTCCATTCATTCTTATCTTCTCCTAATAATCTCGATTTTCTGGGAGACACTAATACTATTTGATTATCTTTAATTTATTACCTATCAGATGTAAGTACGATTGTATAGCCTTTAAAAATGATATCGTCAAAGAGGAAAACTTCTTCGATGTTACATTTTTTCATTTGCCAAGAGACGCTGAGATCTATAACACTAAAGAAACTCGAAAATGCGCCAAACTTAACGAGGGAAGAATGAAGATGCAGTCTCTAATCTGGTGTACACATAATAACTTATAGTAACTCACAGTGACTGACTGTCTGACTGGTTGCAACGTAAAACTTTGCACAGATGTGCAGCAGTTCGAGCTGCCACACTCCCTCTATGTAACATACAAAGTAAGAGAAGAAAGTAAAAATAAATGCAAAACAGAAACAGTAAACAGAGATATGAGGCAAAAAATGGCAATATAGAAGAACAACATAGTTTTATTGAATATTGTAAATCACAAGGGTTGAATGCATCTGTGCCATTGAGAACGATTTTGAGCCATATCACCAGCTGTCTCTAGCTATTAATTGTTGCCATCCCGAGGACTCCAACCAGTAATTCTACACCTCCCAAAGTGGCTGGCTTAAACTAACTGTTGTGGATTTCACTGGCTTCTGACAGCACACGAAGCCCTCCTGATCATAGTAACTCATAGGAACTTATACGGGAATTTTATTTATGGATTCATTGTGCAACACTTATTATTTGAAGTTACCTTGGCACAAAAAGATGAAATAGGTTGAATAATGTGTATCATTAGCCTATTATGGTGTAAGTGCACCTCATTGCTTAATCCAAAAGACTGTAGGTTATTACTGAGATACATTTATTTATTCATTTTGGATCTTTCACGGGTTCTTAGAAGGAAATTCTTGGGTTGCAGATATCAGTTTGGAGAGCTACAAGTTACTTACAACTGGAAGTTGTCTTCGCAAAGCTTTAGTTCAAGAAGAGGTTTCACCGATGCCTTAATCACCATCACTATTTTTTATTATTGTTTCTTTGGGTTCCTAGTGTAAAATGAGGCTTCAGCACCACATCTCCATTTTCCCTCTTCTCTTCCATTCCTTTTCAGCTGGCCTCAAGATTGTACATAAGCTCTCATCTCCCCCTCAGACTATCACCTCCATTTCATCCTCAGACACCTAAATCGTCATTACCCACTGAGGGGTTCACCTGGTGCATGTGTCCGATCCATCTTCATTTGCTTTGGAATATTTTTTGAGCAATAGCTTCTTCATCGGTTCATTACCGCAACTCCTTGTTGGTAACCCTTTCCAGCAGTCCATCTCATCTTCAATATGGAGACAGAGGAGACAGCTGCTAATAAAAGTCTGTAGCAGCCTGCTGAAAATGCTTTTCATGACTTGTGAGCCGAGTTTCTGACGCATGTAGAAGAACTGACTGACTTAACATTAGTGTTGAAAATCCGATTTTCGTCCTTCTTCTCTGTGTTCACTTGAAGCATTTTCTTTGTCGCTCCTTCTGCCAAGTAACTGGCTTTTGCCTGTAAGTCTTCAAGCTTGTTTGGAATTAGACATAAATCGTCCACGAAATCTAGATCTTCTAGAGTCTTCTTGTCGGTTCAATCTTTTCCTGTCTTCCCGCTACCCAAATACAGTCTTCTACACGATCCAGTCCACTATAATCCAAACATCGTCAGTGATAGAAGATACCTTAGTCACACTTCAAAGACCTCACTGTGTTTTCCATTGTGGATCACCTGACATGTAGCATCGCTATATCTCCGTTGAGTGAGATTTATAAGAACTTCTAGCACATCACAGTGTTGAAGTAATTTCGAAATTACTTCGCGGTCAATGCTATCGAAGGTACTGATGTTTTTTTATCGAGTTGCTTAGATCAATAGAACTACAGTTGAAAAATATGTGTAAGTGGTAATATGCATAAAAATTTAGTACTAAAGGGAATATCGGATAAAATTAGGAGGAAAATTTATGTGACTGTTAAAGGCGTTCTAAGCAGTGACAGCTTGTGAAAGGCTTGAAAGGAAGGGAAACTGTCAGATTTTTTCAAACAAGCAATGATGCCCAAGGTAGGGGGAGCTTCTGAACAGATTAGTTGAGCTTCTTCAAGTGGATCCCGACGGTTTCAGCGATATATAAAAGACAAACTCGTTGGACAAAATTAAGATCATTTGAAATCCGGTAGATGAATTTACATGCCTTGTTAACATCGACTTTATGTTCAGTATCTACGAGGTAAGCTAAAACAGATCTCTGGACAGACCTTATTTATCCCTTGCTTAACCACAAAGAATGGTGTTCAGAAATCCTACTATGAACACGCCTAATTGTACGCCTAATGTAACTGACTCCATAAGACCAATCAAACTGATGGATACCCATAGTGGAGTGAAATCACGTAGTTTCTCCTAATTCAAGGAAATAAAACAGAAGTGACTGTGAAGAAACATTTAACTTCTTCTCCAGTGGATTCTCTTTTTACTGCATTCTATAGGCGTTGTGTTATTTTTTCACTAATCTTATTACTAAGAAACTGAAGTTTCAAGAACAAGGATTTCTTCAGAAATGTTGGCATATTAGCCTGCCTTAGCTTTGAATTCACAATCTTATCAATACACTACTCAGTCATTTGGCCTGGTTTTTATGTCACAGGCCAACCTTTTTGTTTGAATTTTAAAAATCGACAATGTTTGTGTTTTGGGTGGTTGGTTTGTTTACTTTTATCATTCATCCTTCTTGTAACTAATCAGATCAGGGAACTTCACTGGATACCTAAGAAATGATAGTTTGTGATCCTTTCTTCTTCAAAAGAGTCGCTTCTTGAGTGTTGCTTCTGGATTAATTCAACTTGAATTCCTTCCGTAGAGCTGGTTGACTTTATCGGTTTGAAGCATATTAGTCAGCCTCTCTCGTTTTTCATAAATAGTTCATTAACTATAGTTGGTTTGTAAGGATTAATTTTGTTTTTACGAGTTGGTCACGGATTGATGTCAGTTAGAGAACCACTGAAAACCAGGGAGTACTGGACAGCTGTTTCATCCTAGTTTGGGAATCATCGGCAGTACGCACCCACCACAGGGGGTTCGAACCCAGGACCTTCTGGTTACAAGGCAAGCTCGTATGCCATTCAGACACTGGGCCCCGGTGCTTACTTGGCGACTTGCTAGAGGACGGAGTTTCCTGGAGTTCCAGTGAGAAGTCATGACCAGTGAGGTCCATCCAGTCAAGTGTGAGGATCGATGTCCCACCAATGACATTGATTGGTGCCAGTCGCGCTAATCACGAATTGGTAGAAGTTAGAATTCATGGAATGGCCATTGGATCGGCTGAATGGTATACGAGCTTTCCTTGTAACCGAAAGGTCCTGCGTTCGAACCCTGACGGTGGGTGCGTACTGGCGATGATTCCCAAACTACGATGAAATAGCTGTCCAGTACTCCAGTGCTGGTTTTCAATGGTTCTCTAACTGAAATCAATCCGTGATCAACTCGTAAAAATCAATAGTCCAATTAATTTAAGACTTAAATGAACTGGTACACACTTGTACTTTTCTTTGTCTTTTATCTTTGACCTCATTCCACGTTTTTTCCACATTTTTTTCATCATTTCGGTTTTAAATGATCCATGAAGGATTTCATTATGAGCTGACATCAATGATGAAATCCTCCATCCAATCAAACAAAATCGCTACAGAACCAATACTTGAAAATAATCTTTGTCTATAACATGTAAATGATTCCCTTACTCATTCAATTAAATCATTACATTATAATATCAGATATATAATTATAAGTTTATAACAAATATACTGCATAATTAATTCTTTTCGTAGAAACAGAACCATTCGGTCCGGTGGCATTTTGGAGTTTCAAAGAATTTGTCAGTCTTCAGCACACATATGAAGTTATTAAAGAAGCTCCTATTCATTTAAGAGACTCAAATGGATCTTCATTGTTTCATTATGCTGCAAATCTATTCCGTGTAATACATCCAGAAGATGTGAATGGATTTCATTGGGCAAGTTTGATTTTAGCTACGGTATTAAAGCGAGGAGTGAAAATTTATTATCGAGATGTCTGGGGAAGAACTGGACGTGATTTATTGGACAAGAAAACGCAGAAATTATTGTACAAAGATAGTGATTTTGATGAAAAAGAAGAGAGTTTTAGACCGTTTGAAGAAAAGGTATGAAAAGTGTTATAAGTCAAAGCAACAATTATAAACTCCGTTTATTACCTCGATCACTTTCATGATTTAAAAATGTTTCATTTGTTCGAACCTCTTTTCAAACCATACTGCATCATCACTGCACTGTGTCACTTGATATAGTGATATAATGTTTTTAATAATTTTTATACTTACTTTAGTCGTTATCTGATATTTGAAGCACATAATATTTTATTGATTAAGTGGTTCAACTAGCTTATGTGGGCAAAGTGAAACTTTAAGCACCACTAACTACCAATCAGAGAATGACCTTGAACGCACCAATCACGTGAAGGAGGCATTTGATAAAAGTAGCTCTCAGTATTAGGTTGGAGTATCAACAGAGTATAATTCCATTGCGGGTAAAATTTATTTTGATAAAGTCTCATAGTGTAATACGTCAATATTTACTGGGCAATAAATTGTGCTCGAAACGTCATCAGTAAACATTACTGTATAACACTGTGAGACTATCAAAATAAATTTTACCGACAATGGAATTATACACTACCGCAGTGCACAGGTTCTATTCTTATATCAATACAGTAATCTAACCACACTCTCTGCATGCAATTATATGAGTCTTCTAACCCTAACAATTGTCCTAATCCATCCTGAACCTAACCCTAACGTGCAAAAATGTCTTAACTAACTGTAATCTAACTTGTACCAACCCTAATGTCACTTTTATTAGTTTAACCTAACCCTAACTTGTCCTTGGCTTAAAGCATGCCCTAATCTTTCTCAAACATAAGCTATAACTTGCTAGATATCCCATTTAATAGCATAACACTTCGATAAGGATATTTTATTGACGATGACAACATTATTTGCCAGATTTCACTAAATTTTTCAGTGAGTGTTTCAAGGTCACCGGTGCGTCACACTCCATTGGTACGTAGTGGTTGAATGAAGACCTTGAGTTTGGAAGGATCCATCTGATTTTAGAACAATTCTTGTCATAAACCGTCAGTTGCAGAATAAGTGAAAGCTGGAAGGCTGTGAGTAACTGTCTCGTCCCAACTTGGGACTCTTCAATGGCGTGTATCCATGGCTCTTAGTTTGCGCCGCCATAAAATGTATCATTCGGCCAGTGAACTCAAAAATATCCAGGACTATGAACTTTAATTTCAATGAGCTTGTGATATGGTGCCACCAGAATCCTTTGTCGTCGATCAGTATGTGTCCTGACATCTGAAGTAATGAACAGAACTAGTGGTTGGTTTCAGGACAAAATGGTAAACATGCTCACCTCATAATCTGTAGGTCGTGAGTGGTGAACGTTCAACAGTAGTTCATTGGTAGAATGCTAGCCGACCATGCTTATGATCCGGGTTTGAATTTCACTTCACAGACAGTGAATCCGCGTCTAGTTTACTTGACCGGTAGCGAGCCCATGAAATCAAAAAGGTTGGTCATGAGGTTAAGAAATCCACCTCGTAAGACCAACACCACTGCCAGTTAAGTCCGAAACCTTGAAGTTCTATGTTCCACTTGGAACTCAATGGGCAGAAACACAAACAGCGGTATATAGGAAATACCAACTAGGAGAAAACCTTCATATACTACTCCTTTGCTTTTTTGGTCAGATTATCTAAAGATGTGAAAACAAACATTTTCTTATGACACGTACACACACACACACACATATTTACTAACACATCGTCCAAGTTTTAGGTTATCCTCAGCAAAGTTGAAGAAATAAACTATCATAGACAATCAATAAAAAAAATCGATGGATAAATAGTGTCATCTTCTAATGGTTATTAATGATTAAAATTTGTTGACAAAATTAATCAAGTCAATGTCTGTCTATGTGATTAGATGGGTGTAAAGTAATTTGTTTGGTGGTCGATAAAAGTTTCATCTTCTTTGTTATTAACTTTGGCTGAAGAGTCAAAAACCTTTTTCTAAAAAAAAACAAATAAAGAACAGAGAGTAAAATCTCGGAGTGATTATAATGGATAGCCAGCTTAAATCACTGGACCATATAAGTTTTCATCCAACATCATGAATAAACGTCTGTCCAATTCCTTTTGTTTAAATCATCCACTTATATCCTTCCATGACAACATATACTCACACACCTACTTTCCATATCTTGAAAGGAATGAAAGAAGAAGAAGAATGTAGTGGATTGGATCCTGCCTCAAATCGAGCAACACTGAAATATTGTTAATTTCTACTTTATTTGAAGAACATGTGTAAAGAGTATATTTATGAATAATCTCCATCGAGGCATTAATGAAAATAAAACACGTAGTTCAGAGAAGAGTCTCTTTTCGGAGAATTCATTCACTTAGCTGTACAGTCGCAAATATTTATGGGTTATTTTGTATGTATGTGTATATTAAGTTTGTCAAACTAAAATACAGTTGGTTATGGTTATTTTTAACTAAACAGGTGAGAATTAGTAATTTTTACGTGGAGTTACGTAATACAAAACGGTCAAGAAAATCGAACACCTGGTTTCTGTTTATTCCTTCACGTTCCCAGTGGAACACAGGGCTTCAAGCTTCAGCTTTGAACTTTCGGTAGCAGTGGTGTTTATTTTTATGGGATGGGGTTGCTAGCCTGACGCCCAATCTTTCCTCTTCACTAGTTTTATTATTGGCTTAGCGAGTTGAAAGTGGGCGTCGGCTGGGGATCGAACCTCGGACCATGTGTATGGTTGGTGAGCGTCCTAACCAATATGCCACCGACGCCTGGTTAACACTGATCATTCCATCTCAACAAACGCCTCCTTAAAAAAAAACCTAAAGAGATAAGAATAACCTACCAAAGGAAATACGGTTTCATACATTTGGTTCCTCGATAAATTTCGATAAAGAAAGGAAGACGATATTTGCAGTTTAAATGATATTATCATTCCATTTCACAGGTTGTCATCAGCTGCAGACTACCTGAAATTACAATGGTTATGTAGATGATAATAACATACTTTAATGTTTGAGTATTAGTAGAGAAGAGATAAAATTGACGCATCCAGAATGTAAGCATTACAATTTTTAGTTTTAGTTTTCATCATCAATTTATACACTTTCAAAGTAGAAAAGAGGCGGGAAGGGTAAGACGGAAAACAGAAAAATTAATGAAACAGTGTTAGCTTGTAGTTTCACATAGCAACTCAAAAAACAAGGGCGGTTACAGTTTATAAGATTAAGATTTGTTCAGTGAGTTGAAATCATTGAAATAGATGACTAATTAATGTAATCAAAATCAAAATTCAGTTACCAAGGCAGTGAGAGATTAATCACACTCCCTTTCTGTATGCATATGTCTGGTTTGAATCGTTTGATTGCAATCGCTTCGGTAAATTGTAGTCAATTTACTGTCCTTTGTCTATTTTTTCTCTACTACCAGCACTTAAACATTAAAGTATGTAATTATCATCTATATAACCATTGTAATTTCAGGTAGTCTGCAGCTGATGAGAACCTGTGAAATAGAATGATGATATCACCTTATACTGAGAATTTCGTCTTCCTTTCTTTATCGAAATACGGTTTCTTCTTCTTTTTATCGCTGAAGCTCTGGTCATTCACATACAAAAGAGAATTACTCAACCACTTCTACTATCATGGTGACAACGTTGTTGATTTTTGATGATTTAATTTGCTTGTTTTCCTGTTTTTTTTTAATTGCTTATAATTCTTGCATTCATTTGGAACTCTCACGTAATTCCTTATTCTCTCCTTTATTCCTGTGCGTATCTTGAGTGCAACTCAATCATCAAACCATTCATATTATTACGTAACTCCTTTTTAACAACTGTTTGTGACAACTCATCACCCTTGTTACTACCCTAGTTTCATTAACACCCAATTTTCGTGACCGCTTTGTATTACGTAACTCCATGCAAAACTTACTAATTCTCACCTGTTTAGTTAAAATAACCATAACCAATTGTATTTTATGGAGGATTTCAACATCAGCTGACATCAGTTAGAGAACCACTGGAAAACCTGGAAGTACAGGACAGCTGCTTCGTCCTAGTTTGGTACTTTTCATCGGTACGCACCCATCGGGGTTTGAACCCAGGACCTTCTGGCTACACGGCGAGCTCGTAGACCATTGAGCCACTGGGACCCGATCCAATGGTCCTTGAATTCCATTTTCTGCCAATTCACGACATAGCGTGACCATTTCACAATGTCTTCTTCGATGAGTTACTACCTCATCTTCAACCTGCTATACCCTACTGGTCACGGCTTCCCACTAGAAGCTAAGTAAATGAATTCGCCGAAAAGAGACTCCTCGCTGAACTACATGTTTTGTTTTCATCAATGATATTTTGCTATAAAATTATACTGAGGATTTAGTACTGTATGTAGACATATTGTCAAAAATAAAACTTTTACCATTTTCACTATTCTTAGGATTATCAGTGAGATTCAACACAAGCTTAGCATTCTGTTAATCCCATATCATTTGAAGTAGCGAACCTTTTGCTGTTCTTATTTTCACCTGAATTTAAATTCAGAAATCGTCAATTTGAGCTACTGAATTATGATAATCAACCTTTGTTCATTCAATTGAATTTTTAGATTTTCCCGTCGATTGATTGGACCGAAGTGCTCGGTCTCAGGTTGACATGTCGGCTTCATTCATACTGAAAAGAAGTCATAGACCCACATTCAAAAGGTGATCAATCAGTCAGTCTGGTCTTAACAAGGTGGCGAAGTCGAACTATGGTAGTGACCACCAAGAATGACACTGAAAAACCCTTAGGAATATAAATGAACAGTAAAACTCATTAGTTGGTTAAGATTATTAGTTGCGGTGAAATTAAGGTCAGGTTAGGGTACCGATTTAGGATCAGCTTAAGACTAAGGTTAAGTTAGGACTAACTATACTAGTGAAATCGTAGATCCATGCGTTTTATGAACAAATTATCGAGTTTCGATTGATTGGCCAAAGTTATTCTTGGTGGTGGTAGCATAACATATATAATATATATATATATATATATGTATATATATATATTAGTAAAGAGCCTCTGATGAGGCACTAATCCGAAGGGAAAATATTTCACCGCTCATTTTGCTGTTTCTTTTTCCAACTTAATTTATATATTTCTTAGAAAACTGAAACGGAATGCTTGAAATTCCTGCTTTGTTTATAAAGAAACGTTCAATTACTCATTTTACTTTAGCTTACCACAGTCTGTAAAATTTAAACAATGATAGCTTTGTTTGTTACAGGATAAACATACACTCGTGCATTCCATCAACTGTGCAATTTATCAAGCATTATTATTATTGTTTCTTTTAGTTCCTAGAGGAACATAGGGCTTCAGCCAAACGTCTCTATTGAGTTTGGTTCTCCACCAACGTATTCACCTGGCTCCACGTTTGCCAACATGCTTTCACCTCCTCTTCACATGACCTCCTCCATGTCACCCTCACACTGACGACCAACTCACCGCCTCCCATTCGGGTTCCGCTCGAGAGATGGCCTGTCGTGTGATGTCACTTGATGGCTTGTTTTCTCAGAGTAAGGTCAATCCACCTACATTTCTTCCTGCATATTTGTTGCACAACTGGTTTTTGCCGGGTCGGTTAGCTCCCAGAGATCCCTGTTGTTGATATTTTCTGGCCATCTGATCTTGAGTATCAAGTAGAGTGGGCTTATATGTGAAAAGTTAAAACAGTCACCAATGAGTGAGTCGTAAATATTTAGAAATAAAACCCATCATTTAATCAATTATCCAAATTAAGATTGAAGAGCATGGTTTCAATTATAACAAAAAGACTGCTACTGAACTGCCTAACTGACTTCTTAATGTAGGGCCTTACTAGAAAAGTGTCTCATTTACGAGAAGCACGCATAAAAGTGGCGAGAAAAAAAATGTATCAGAGAACTCTTTCTTACTGTATTTATTATCTTATGACTTGATCAGAACGCTGGCTTTCTCAGTTAAGACAAACTATAGCAGGCACCAAAATGATCTTGAATAACCCTTCCGAAGAAAAGACTGCGAAATCCTTGAGTTTGGTGATGAATTAAAAATTCAAAAGTTTATACTTCTTAGTGGGACGATTGTGTGTTTACCGTAATCCCTGATCTAGACTTTAACCTATACTGAATCTAATCTCTAACCCGAACGCCGAGGAATCTGAAGGAAGAAGGAAACGTCTGTCCAATAATCCCTAGTTTTCAGTGATTCTCTAACTGAAGTTACCTCGTAATCTAGCTTGAAGTCAATCAGATCCTTGTAGACCAACGTTTGAAAATCAGTTTACAGCTGACAAGTGACTGACCACAGGATGAAGCCGTTTGAAGTTCTAGTGTTAGACGGTTACCAGTGGGACCCACCAAGTTGAACGTGAGCAGAGAGACTTACGGATGACAGCGGCTGGGATTTTGCGCTCTACATCGCCAAATTTTTTTTGATTGCAGCTTGATTCCACACCGTATTTTCAGTACAGGTATGAAATTTTCAGCATGTGATATCGGTAGCCCAAATTTTGCAGGCCAACCATAGATATCAGTTGTGCGTTGGCAGGGGATCGGACCCCGGACCATATGCATGGTCGGCGAGAGTCTTAACCACTGTGCCACAGACGCACACAAATGGCAGAAGTTAGAAATGATGAGCCACTGGATTCCTTCCCAGTGGCTCGCCTTGTAACCTGTGTTCAACCCCTGGTGGGGTCATAGGTGCACACCGATGAAGAGTTCCAAATAAGGACAAGACGACAGTGCAGTACTCCTTGGTTTTCAGTGGTTATCTAACTGAAACCAGTTCGTGATGAAAGTTGTGATTTGTATTTCCCGCTGATTAATAATAACTGGACTGAAATGAGCACCCTACGTCTCACTGCTAGACAGCATCAACTAGATTTCTCATCTGTGCTTTACTTTTCTATAAAATAACTATGTTTAACATCTGAAATGAATCAATAATGCTTGTCCTACTGTTGATATTTTCTTTTAAGGGTCCAGATCCTTTTGATCTATATGAAATAATCGATTCAGATAGTGGTAATGTACTGACAGCTGAACAATTAATTGATCGTCAAATCACTCTCCAGGTATCTGCAAATCATTTACACTCGATAGAAGAATTAATTCTCTATGGTTATAATTATCTGCATTTAGCTAATTCTGGTCCACCAAAGTACAAATCTGCAAGAAATATAGCTGAATGTAAAGAGTACAGTGAAATGTTAACACTGTATGATACAGCTGACCAGTATCGATTAGAAATGAGTAATGTTCATAAGACTGTTTTGACCGGAGATTATCATCATTTTCTTCAATTAGTTAATATGAAAAAAGTTATAATGAGTAAGTGACATTTCCTTTAGAGTTTTTAAAAAAAAGTTCTTACGCCATTTATAATTCAAAAACTAACGATCTAATTAGTGAATTACTTTTTCATTATTTCTGCAGTTTTCGCGGTATTTTGTCATTTTATTAGATAACCTTTGAAAGATAAGTAGCCGTCAGGGTCATGCAATGAAGGAACTAATCCAGAACTGCCGTAAATTCGGGAAAGTATAATAGCTGAACAGCAGCATCGTGTTACTTAGCATATTGCCTGATATGACTTTATTAGTGGCAACAGTATGTTCGTGTTTAAATAAGTAGGTCATAGTAACAAGACAATGTGTAAACACATTGTTCAACACTCATCAGTATGGGTGTAGAAAAAAGAGTAAAGATAAGCTAACAGCTGAATTCATGAGTATACTGTTGTCTTAGGTCACGTATTCCAACAGACCTTTATCAACAGCTGTCTTCATTCTATACTGAAGATCAGATGGTCGGAAAGAATCACCAACAAGAAACTATGGGAACAAACAAAACAAGAACCAATCGCTCAACAAATATGCAGGAGAAAGTGGAGATGGATTGGACACTCGCTGAGCAGGCCGTTGGGTGACATCGCGCGTCAGGCCAACGCTCGAGTGGAACCCGAAAGGGAAGCGGCGAGTGGGATATCGAAGGGTGACATGGAGGAGATCGTGTGAAGAGGAATTGAAACAGCGTGGACTAACATGGATGCATGTGAGAAGTACAGCAGAAGAGAGAAGCAAGTGGAGACGTGCAGTTGAAGCCTTATGTTCCACTACGAACCCAAGGGAACAATAATAAATAATAATAAAAGGTCACTTATTACACATGAGTGCTCTGTAAATTATTATTATTGATCATTATTAGTGGAATCTTTATTTATACGTCTTATGACATTTTGACTTGTCACTTGAGTAAATGAGTATAATTGAGTGTTTTTAAATAATATCCAACTGAATTAGTTATCGTCAGAAACAATAAACCCATTGATGATACAAATGAGTTCTGATATTTATGCAATAGTTATGCAATAAGTACTGACTGATTAGTATACATCATGGATGATATTAATCTTCGAAATTTCAAAAGCTATAGGCTGTAAAACAAGCAACGAAGGTTAATAAAGCAGGATTTAATGAATTCATCAAATTTCGGTAGAACTCGTCAGCTGAATACTCTACATACACGGATATATACTTTTGAAATTACATTGAGAGATATAGGACTGATAAGTAAACAAACTACATTGAATTAGTCATGCAGAAAGACACGTGCCAATGTTTTTCCAGGTCATGTTCAAATAGATAAGGGGAGAGAGAGTATGAGAGATCAAAATTAAGATAAATTGCATTACGCTTCAATTACATCACCTAGTTAAACAGTCAGACATTAGAGAATACAACAAGAATTGCAACCAGAGTGATGTCAATAGTAACAGTTAGAATTCATCAGCCATTGAATCGGGTCCCAGTGGCTGAATGGTATACGAGCTTGCCTTGTAACCGGAAGGTCCCGGGTTCGAATCCCAGTGGGTGCGTACTGCCGATGATTCCCAAACTAGGATGAAACAGCAGCTGTCCAGTACTCCAGTGCTGGTTTTCAATGGTTCTCTAACTGATATCAATCCGTGATCAACTCGTAAAAAATAGTAATAGTTATAATAATAATAATAGTGTTGAAGTGAGTTAAGATAATCCTACTGATAAAGGATAGTTTTAAATGAATCAAGAATAATAATAGTGAGAATAATAATAATAAGAGGTAGAATTATAAGTAAAACGTATTACCATGGTAGATTCACAGTCACGACCATCTCCTTTTGTACACAGAGACCTGGTTTGTAAACTCGAATTGCGCAAGCCTCTGCACTTGCAAGCATCTTCTTGTTTCTTTGTCTGCTGACAATAGTGAATGACTTGACCGCGTCGATATCATGTCCGTAATCCACAAGATGCTTTGATATTGAGGATTTTGGCACTTTGCACTCGGCTGTTTTCAACCATTTTGGCAAATGCTCCATCATGCGAGTAGACAATCGCCTTTCTGTACGACCTATGTATTTGCTTCCACAAACACAATCAAATTGATATACGCCGTGTCGAGGATGGGCGACTGGTCTTGTTTTAAATTCGTATCGGGAAATAAATGTTTCCAATTCTTGAAGAAACTATAGGGTTGTTTATTTTGTGTTATTCGGTTGCTAGTTCCACGCCTAACCTCCTCTCTTTCCTGGTCTTTAGGACTAATCTGGCTCTGAGGTACAAATACCTAACTGCTAATTTGCTGACCATTTCACTACAGTCATGACAAGTCATACTGAGCTGCTGTGTGAATGAATAATACATTACTGACCGTTTATCTATGCCATAAGAAGATTCAGACCTACATTCATCATGGCAGACAAATAACCTTTTTTATTTTGAATATAAACGTCCAGTCTCAATTGTTTTGTTAGCTGTTGCTTAGGTGAAATATAACTAACTACAGATTAATTTAACACTAATTATATTAGCTAATTTAAGAACATCGACTTTATGACCAATTTTTATGAGACAAACTTGAACAAAGAGAGAATGATAAATGCATAAGGATAATGTCAGCTGATCTTTTTTTATTTCAACCATTCTACTCAACTAGCTACAACCAGAACAATAAAAAAATATAAATTACATTTAAGATTTGAACATACTATTTTCGTGATGACAAGGAGTAACTGGTAGGAACTAAGAGTGATATAAATCCGAGTGACGTAAGTTGTTAAATTATTAAGGGTTAAAAGGATGGATTGACTATTTAAATGATAGTAAGACGAATAATCTTGGAAGCGAAGACACACAGTTCAAAAAATTTTTGGGTCGAAACAAAGTTTGACCAGAATGAGTACAACTACATGACAGATTGCGTAACTATAGACAATATGTCTATATAACGTGGTACAAGAGGCGGATAGGGTGTGTCATGTTCAGATAGAACAATAACATTTTCTGAATAGCGTAGAAGATCACGTAATAAAATTTGTATACTTAGTTATTACCAAGGCAGTGAGATACTTACCACTGTCTGTTTCTGCGTAGACACATTTGTTGAGGTAATCGCCATCAAACGATTAAAACGAAATCTATGTGCACAGAAAGAGACAGTGATGAATCTTGTACTGTCTTGGTGCATCCTCTGTACTGTTTAAATAAAATTTAAATTTTCATCTGAACACAAATCACCCTATCCGCCTCTTGTACCACGTTATATAGACATATTGTCTATAGTTACGCAATCTGTCATGTAGTTGTACTCATTCTGGTCAAACTTTGTTTCGACCCAAAAATTTTTTGAACTGTGTGTCTTCGCTTCCAAGATTATTCGTCTTACTATCATTTAAATAGTCAATCCATCCTTTTAACCCTTAATAATTTAACAACTTACGTCACTCGGATTTATATCACTCTTAGTTCCTACCAGTTACTCCTTGTCATCACGAAAATAGTATGTTCAAATCTTAAATGTAATTTATATTTTTTTATTGTTCTGGTTGTAGCTAGTTGAGTAGAATGGTTGAAATAAAAAAAGATCAGCTGACATTATCCTTATGCATTTATCATTCTCTCTTTGTTCAAGTTTATCAATGGGGAGAATCATATGAAAATTTATCAGAAGATAGACGATTTCACTCCTGAAGAATTATGTGTCTTTCAATAGCACATTCCTTCTAACATTTCCAAAATACAATCACATATTCTTCTTTCTATTCATTATCGTCAACCTACAAGCAAAACTTTGAAAAGACAAGTTTATTTTTAAGTAACACAAAATGGTTCATTGTTAAGGTTAGCTGCTTTATAAGGAAAACGCATTTAAAATGCCGAAATCAGTGGAAATTTGTTAGACCACTGTTTCATGAAATTTGTATCAGATTTATAATACGACCACATAATGAGAAAATTAATCCACCCGTATAACAGTCCCGTAGATCAAAAGTGTTTTCCTTTCTGTACTTCAATCATTGACCTCGGTGGTATATCCGAGATGCAAACTGCTGATCGATATAGGTAATTGCAAACTTCTCACGTCAATCGGTAGCGATCACCTGTAATACTGTGGTGGAAGCTGTCTGAAAGCCAAAATTAAAGACAACAGTTGAGGTCAGTGTTTACATCTCGAATCAGGGTCATGAGAAAAACAATAACAAAGCTTAATCTTAAGGAACTCACCAACCAACCATAGCAGACTTAACGTCTGCAAATACTATTAGCAGATATATGGCCTGACTTTCTAAGAAGTGGCCACAAAGAGATGACAGAATAACCTTCAGCAGGAAAACAACCAATCAGAAGACGCTGCTTTTCTGCTAACAGTAACGCTAATAATAATGCACACAAAAATCTATAAATATCTTTTGATTTTCTCAATAAACGGTCTGTTGCCTGGCCCTCGTCTTCTGTCGTTACAATACTAAAAGGATGGCTGATTTGTTCATTTGTGCTCCAGCCCATCAATGGTGAACGCAGATTATTGATTAAGTTTGAAGACTGAAATTAGTCCAAGCCTAATGAATTCAGTCTACTTACTTTAGTGAACTCGTAACATGTGAAATGCAGTCAGTTCAGGACAATATTTCACCATGGTTTCCACTAAAAACCCAAATCGTACCATATGACCTGACTGACATCACAAATAGAATCAAGAAAACAATCAATAAATGCTTTATGAAGTGAGTAAGTGAAAACCCCTTAAACCAAACAGTTACACTACTACTTGGAGAAATTATACTAAGTTACCAGAATTCTTGCAGGAGTTGTTTTCAATTACAGTTCTCTTCCAATCACTTAATTAGGTGAACTATGAAGTAATTAAATTCAAAGGAAGCATAAATTAATTTTTGCACAGCTAAAGGCCCTTTATCTGATTTTTATAGTCCATGGATTACATAACGACGGAAATAAAGCAATCACTGAGTAAAAATGTTTGTATTCTACCGAATTCCGTCTATTTAGAACCTTTACCTAGAACTGAATTAAGATTTAAAGGTTCTTTGGCAAGTAACAAACAAAGCATAATACTTCAGGATAGAGCGTTTGAAGGTGTTCACTAATAAACTTCTAACTCAGTGACAAATCCATTAGGATATTGATACTACTAACCACTTTACTTCACTATGAATTCCATTCTTTCCACATGCAATGCAAAACACTTCTGAATACTGCTAAGTACAATAAGGTAAATGGTAGGATATTCGTGGACCTAAGCTTCATGCTTATCATCACTCACTAGCAAAGCGTCACTACAGCATTGTAGGAGTTAATGTCCCGATGGAAATTCAGACCTACATCGTTCAATGCTAATAACAGACGTGGAATATTATCAGAAGAAATCAGTGGTAGGAAAATCTCAGCTCAAAGTAGTTGAGAATGCTGCACGCGGAAGTCTGAATACCTAATAGATGTCTCTCTTCCTTCAGCATAACGAGGCAACTTAGGTTGACACCTAGAGATTTCAGAAGGTATGAAACCATATTGATCATAGAAGGAGTAGATGGCTTTACGCTCTATTCTTGCTTCACTATCACATATCCTTGTTTCCCTCGCTTCTTTTTTCTTAGCTGTGTAACTTTCAACAACTACTAGTACCACTGAGTTTTACTTTATATTCCCTTCAGTTAATTTCCAGTTCACTATGTTGATATGAAGTGTGACAACTGGAGATGATATAGGTTTAAACGGGACTGTGCATTATTCATATTTGTCTTTTACGCATTTTACTTTAGCATTTCTTTCACTTTAGGTCGTGATTGGCGAGAACGTTCACTACTACATCTAGCAGTACTCTATCGTAGAACAGATTTTGTTCTTCAATTGATTGAATTATATCCAGAACTTGTGAATTATCAAGATTGTCTTGGACGTACTCCATTGCATTATGCAATTTGTTTAAATGATAATCGCCGGTTGTTTTTAAAAATTGTTGCTAAATCTGGATTAGTTAATAAACAAACGAAAGATTTAGTAAGTTTTTCTAATGCCTAGTTATTATTATCATTATCATTATTGTAAAATCACTTTTATTCAATTACAAACATTAATGTAAATGAAATGTTAGTACGTTGGTGGAATCCACCGTGTGTGCTTCGTCCTGTGTGGGATTCGTCAGTTAGCTAAACCTGTACTCCTAATGAGTGGTGTTCTCACTTAGACTCAAACTCAACATCCAATATCTCAAACATCAAAGCGTCATAAAACTAAGTAAGATCATGTTCATCGCAAAGTCCGTAAAAGGAGCAGAAATATCAACAGGAACTGAGTGTTTCTGTTCAGTGTAATCAGTCAATGGGGAATTCAAAATAGTTTTATTAAAGAGGCTTCTCGGTTATACACAATAGTATCCTATTAAGTAAACTATTAATTTACAGTAATAGCAAACATTCAGATTAATAGGAGAAAGAAAGCCATCCATTGAGGAGACGGCACTATATGTCACACCGAAATATTAAACAATGGAGGCTAAAGCGGAGTGTGTGGAATAAATTCGCCAATTTTATGCGGAAGCCTTGATCTTCCGAATATATATTAGGCGAGCCCGTTGACTACTTACTCAGTGGGTTGAAATTCAATAATCTGCCAATTTTAACTTCTGTCAATTAGTGACGAAATCTACTTTGAAATTAAACAAAATCTCTACAAAAAACAGGATTTGAATACTGATCTCCTGATCATTCTTAGATACAGAATGGATGTCCTGCAGTTCTAATGCAAAGTCATGGCTGTTCAGGTCTGTTATGTTTGGTGTGGAGCAGATGGTCATTGGTGACATTAGATGACGGTAAACCCATATGCTACCAGTCGACAAACGTTAGAATACATGGGTCGTTGCAATCCAACTTAATGATTGAACTATCAACGAGTTCGCCTCATAAACTGACCGTCCCGGGTTCGATCCCTGATGCAGTAGTGAGTAGGGGTGCTGGATGGTCCCAAAATAGCATTAAACAACTGCCTGATTCTCTAACTGATATCAATTTAAGACAAAATCTACATACAAAACCTGTGTTAATCACAAGAAAAGAATAGAAGAAGAGACAATGGATATCTTAAGCATTATTGTTCTTTATGAATGGTTTGATTCTAATGCCGGCTAGTATGAATAAAGTGGTTGTACACATTTACCACACTGATTCTCACAAACTCTGCTTTACATTAGGAGCGTAATCGTACACCCTTTGACTGATAACAAGGAATCATAGCTGTTATATTGCTTATTGCATAATAAATAAGGTGAAATCCCACTACTTAATTCCTGTCAAAAAATCTAAGGAATTCTCTCAATGTAGAGTTCACCATGAACTTACATGAGTTTGAGAATCATTGAAAACCAGGAACCACTGGTCCCAAACTGGAACAAAACAGATGTCCAGTGCTTTCTGGTTTTCAGCTATTCCCTAACTGATGCTATTCACAATCCCCACAAAGTTCATAACCTTAATTATTTCTACTTCAAATTATTACTAATTTCAGCGAAATGTCTCAATTAATCAGTATGGTGAATTATACGAGAAAAATATTCCTGAATATCGAAATTTAATCAATTCAGAAAAATCGTGTATTTTACTTGAACCAAATTGGCCAGATCAAAGAATCATCATTTCATTGACAATTGAACCAAATAATGAGTCAGTCATAGAAAAAGAAGAAGATTCCAGTAGTCAGAACAATAATGCAAAGTTAACAAATGAACAGATAGAAGAAATTGACAATTCTTTATTATTCCCAATCCCTGGTGCATTTAATGCCCGTGAATTGAAACGGATTAACTCAGCATTTCACTGGAAGCAACGGGCATAAATCAGGATATATAAAAAATACAACATTTGCATCGTCATAATCATGACTGTCAAGAAAAACAAACTTTGGAAAGTTCCCTTTTTGACTATCCACTTTCAAGAAGTTTCCCATCTTCGTTTAGTATTTCAATGTTGCATATTCAAAACGACGGAAATTTTCTTTTGGATATTCTTTCTGTAATCATTTTATAATTATCCTTTTTCAAATGTAATGAATTATGAAGGAAAACCTTTTTCTGATCGGTCTATACAGTTGACTTTCAGTCGGTAGACCATGAAATCGAAGTATGAAACACCTATTGGAATTTAAGGTGACTGGTGATATCACAACCCTTAAATATGACTACAGCAACAATTCGGTCTAAAATTTGTCGTGGACGTATCATCATAAGACTTGATGGCATCTTCAGCACTGACTCTGCGAAAAATCATGAGGTATATAGTCATAAGTTACATGAATATTTGAATACCTTTCTCCTTTAAGATTTTCAGTAACACTTCGCTTTCGAATGAAGTCATCAGGTCTGGTGACGTCCACGATCATTTACCGGAGTGCTGCGGGAGTTAAAAGATTGCTATTCGCATCGTGAGTTATAAATCTTCAATAGTTTTCCACTTTAGTTTGTATCTGTTGTTAAATTCTGTCGTAATGAATACCAAGGACAAATACTTCATTGTCGTTACGATTTGTTTACTTACTACTTGTGTAACGACCGAAGACAAGGGCCAGACAACAGATCGTCTATTGAGAAAATCAACAGATATTTATAGATTTTATGTACATTATTATTAGCGTTATTGTTAGCAGAGAAGCAACGTCTTCTGATTGGTTGTTTTCTTGTTGAAAGTTATTCTGTCATCTCTTTGTGGCCGTTTCTTAGAAAGTTAGACCATATATCAGCGAGTAGTATTTGCAGACGTTGAGTCTGCTGTGATTGGTTGGTGAGTTCCTCAAGGTTAAGCTTTGTTATTGTTTTCTCTCATGACCCTGATTCGGGACGTAAACACTGACGTAAATTGTTGTCTACAATTTTGGCTACCGGACAGCTCTCGCCACACTTGTAGTATTCACTTCACTGAGTTCGAAAAACAATGTATGGCTTCTCCCTATTGATTAAAGATGCTCGTTACAATTTTCAAAAGATTGATTACTGAACAAAGAATATTCTTTTCGATAACTTCATCAGGTTCTACAGCTACATGTCTATAATGAAAGAATGATTGTTATTGAAAACAGATTAGTTCAGCATCTATAATTTACACAGTTCGACTTGAAATTTCACCAAATTTTCCATTGGGAATCGAGGTTATTCAGAGGATGTGTTCTGCTTGATACTATAAATGGCGATCAGGGAAGCAAACATAAAGACATGATGCTGTATACCATTAGTTGATTTATATGAGTAGTTGGACGAGTGTCGAGGAAGTAAATCGCACTGATCAAGGCACTTTACTCAAACTTTCGCTGCCATGTAAGAGATTATGGAGAGTTGTCATCCCAGCTGATGTCCGTCAGCGATTCCCAGTGTTCCCTTCTATGTATAATTCCTTCATAGACGTACTATTTGACTTAAAACTTCCTAGACTTGATACCAGGGAATAATCTCGTTGACTTAAAATATGCAGATGATATAGTCCTCCTAGGTGAAGACGCTGAAAGAATGCAGAGTCTTCTGAACACCTTGAGCAGCAATCTTCGAATGTTTGACACGCAATTCGCTCCCATCAAATTTAAGATGATACTACAGGACTGGAAGACACCAACTCCTAGATTCAAAATAGGGAGTGAACTGGTAGAGCACGTTGACCGCTTCACTTATTTGGGAAGCTGTATCAGCCCCAACGGGTTGATCGTTGACGAAATCTCAGCACGGATACAGAAGGCTCGATTGGTAGATACCAGTTTATGCCATCTCTAGCTTAGTAGACTTGATATTCTGCTATCCACCAAAAGGCGTGTGTACTGCTCAGAAGTTCGCTCCGTCCTCCTTTATGGCTATTGGAGGTGAAAGATATGAAAAGCCTAGCTAGCTGTATCTGATCATAGGTGTCTGTGTTCCATCTCCCGTGTTAAGTGATATAATAGAGTGAGCAGTATTTAGGTTAGGCCTCAGTGGAGTGCTAGCTAGGTAGGAGGGGAAATCAATCGACCAGGTTGTGAAGTTACATCGTTTGAGATTGTTGGGACATGTGTTGCGCGTGACTAGCCATCCCCTTCCTCGAAAGGCAATGTTAACTGACATTCGGTTGGGTTGTAAGCGAGCTAGTGGTGGTCAAACCAAAACATGGTCTCATCAGTTAGTGAAATCCACAACAGTTAGTTTAAGCTGGCCGCGTAGGGAGGTGTAAACTTTCTGGTTGAGGTCCTCAGGATGGTAAGAACCAGTGGTTGAAGACAATTGGTGATATGGCTCAAAATCGTTCTCAGTGGCGCAGATGCATTCACTGTCTTCGATCTAACATATCTAAAAGACACTCAACTGTTTTTCTATGTTACTAATTTCTCTTCCTCACACTTCTGCTTATTATTGTTTATCCGAATCTCTTTTATCATCCTTAGTGTGTTTCAAAGAGTGTAGCGACCCGAACTGCTGCACTTCTGTGTTGAAACTGTCAGTCAAGGAGAAGTTGGGTGCTTTCTAGTCAGACCGAAGTGGTCTAAACATCGGATGAGGCAATGAAATGACTGTGATCCTAAAAAGAAAACTAGTTAAACTATTTATAAAAATTAAGCCTTTCTTTTTATAAGGTATTCTAAATGTTTTGAAATGAATTCAATACGACTTAACGTGATTATTTTTAGTGGAGTAAAAGTATCCTTGATCTGTAATACCTAGAGCACAAGCTAAAGTAAACACGAGGAAAGATTTGTTGCTTTCAACTGGGAGGTAGGTACTAGCATCAGCTACAGAGGATCTATCCAACCTGATGTAAAAACAACACAAACAAGGCTTCCTGCCGATTGCCTCCAACCATCTAATACCAACAATTCACAGTGCACCGTAATGGCGAGCCACCTAGCATGGTGGCCACATTGCAAACATGACTGATAGAATTCAGTCTGCACCGACGATAGGACTAGACACATCACACTAGTTACTGACTAGTGTGCAGTCAAAAATATCCAATACAGTCCTACAGGAGGTCAGTCGCGAGCCTGAATAGCTCAGTGGTAACGTCTCTGACTGCAGCACTGGGTGACGCGGGTTCGAATCTCAGAAGGGACATCAGTTCCTTCAAGGTTGCAGATACGCCTTGCTGATGAGTGCCAACTAGCACGAAACCTAGGTCCAAGGCTTCCTGCCGATTGCCTCCAACCACCTAATACCAACAATACCATTTCTTTTGCTTTCAACGGAAATCAACTGAGTAGTAACTGGTTGTGTTAAACACTGATTATACAAGCTTAATTGTTTATTTAGAAGAGCGTGCTACACAAGTATAAACTTTTTTTGTTGTTGTTGCAAAGTGTATAAATTAGAGATAATTCAGTCCTTTAAGTAGTTATAACTACTTCACTGTATATATCAAGTTCCGTTTAACCGTTTGAGATGACGTTGAGACAATATTGTTTTATTTTTGAACTACAAGGGCTCAGTTTAAGGACAAAAATCTACAAGATTTAATATCTAGTTGAACCAAATGAAGTAAGATGCGCTAACTCTGATGGACTATGCAAATTGGATAAAACTTTCATGAAATCAAATTTAGAAAGGATAAGCACCTTAGAGAATCCATCCAACTAGAACTCAAAACAAAAACTACAGAAACTCCAGTCATGTCTCTATATTCGCTGTTGTCATGTTACAAAAAGTGATTTCGACAGAATGAAGATTGTTTGAACTATAAGGAAAACCTTGTAGCATGAATCTCTGCATGTAAAATGAAAATATGATTTCCGGAATAAGAATGATGAAGCGTGCTTTCAGTCCATCTGTACGAGATCACAAACAATCACAATGAAACTGTAGTAGTTTAGATTTTAGGGAAACTAATATTAACATATGACTACATACATAATGTTCTGTGCATCCGTGATCCGGAGAGTGAATCCTCACCAACCTCTTGCGTGGTCCCGATTCCGTTCCCGGCCAGCTCACTACAAAACTCCACCTAGCTTACTAACTGGCAGTAAGATAGAAAAAGAGTGACGGTCTGTTGTGAGGCTAGCAACTCTACCGCGTAAAAACAACACTACCTTTACTGAAACTGCGAAGCTGAAGCTTGAAGCCCTATGTTCCATCCATAAGGCAAAATAATTTAAACACATTAGCATAGCTGTTATCTTCGTTTGTTTTTAAATTGCGCCCACTCTGGGAGTCGTGGGATGACCACATCTGATCTTTCCATCCCATCCCGGGAATAGCGAACAAAAACCGATACGGAAGCCTTTGGGATAACATTCGTATCACATATCCAAGTCGCTGGAACCGGTGTTTCCGTATGACATTTAGTGAAACGTGATCTCCACTGTATCCAAATACACACTGCCAGACCTCAGAATTATTCACGTGCCGATGCCATTTAAGCAAGCAATTCTAAGGAGATAGCGATCATCAAATACACAGAGTCGCTTTACATCATCAGCTCACAAAAGCGTACAGCAAGGTAGCGCTCACAGAAGCATTGTAAACCCAATCTGTGACAGCCATGCTTACACTGCGACAGCGCTAAAGGTGGCTCAAATTAGCGTAAGCCATCCTAGCTTTCATGAAACGGTTGGAAATCTCATCTGTCACACCTCCGCCAGTACTCATACAACTAACCAGATACACGAACTTACCAACAACTTCAAGCGGTTTACCTGCAAGAGTGAGTGTAGGTACAGGCTCCTGACAATCTTGTAACAGTACTTAGCATTTAGACGACGTAAAGCATATACCATACTTAAAGACACTGATCGTCAACTGATTAGGTGCGATTTGAGCAGCCTGCATGCTATTGCATAGTAAGACGATATCATATGCATACTCGACGTTGAATAGTCTGTCTCCAAGAAGCAGATCTACGGCAACACCACGCACATCCTTCATAACTGACTTCATAATGCCATCGATGGAAAAGTTAAAGAGAAATGCAGATATCGGGCAACCCTGTCTAACCCCACTGTTGATTGGGAACAGTGATGATAGTCGGTTGTATGCCCCCACTTTATCTGAGGTATTTCTGTTAAAAAACTTCTCAGGTACACCCCTCCCTAACAGACATTTCCAGAGCACAGTTCTATCAAACGAATCGAAGACAGCCCTAATATCAAGAAACACAACGATTGTTTGCATGCAGTACTTGTGACGGTATTCCAACAACTGACGAAGAGTGAACACATGATCAATGCACTCACGGTATGAACGAGACCCACTCCGCTCTTCGCGAATCAACTCCTCATGTGTTTTTAACAGCCTAAGAAGCAAGACAGCAGTCAATATTTTAGACGTAACTAGTAGCAAACTAATACTCCAATGGCTGTCACACGTGTTACGTCGACTATTTTTAAAGATCGGGACGATGATGGATTCATTCCACATTGATGGCATATCCTCAATTTCTCATACTTTCCTGAGCCAAACAGTTCAAGCTATAAAGAGAATCTCAACATCTTTAAAAAGGGCCGGGGCTAAATTGTCTGGGCCGGGTGCCTTATGGAAATTCAACACTTGGAGTTCCTTTAAAACCTCCGCTTCTACGGGTGGGTCGATATTGACCGACCAAGGAGCACTGTAACTAGTGACGGTGGATGCTGGCGTTGATGTTCAGCGAGAATGTTTCTCAAAGTTCTCTACCCAACATTCCAGGTGTATTTTCACTCTGCCTCACAGACAGTCTCGCTGACACCACCATGCTTCTTGTTGACAGTGGCTAGGATGAGCTGGAACAGCTTCCGACTGTTGCCAGATGCACCTACTGACTCCATTAACTACTTGAGTTTCATCCTACGACATTTTCCAATACAATAATTATGAATTGACTATACAGCCCATCAGATTATTGCCAGTATGACACCCATCACAGTACACAATTAGACTGCGTCAACGCATCAACAACAGATCACAATGTTGAATCCAATCATACGTAATATCTTAAAGATAATGAGTTTTAAATAATATAATCAATACTTCTTAAAAAGCACAAAAATAAACACAAATATACTAGGCAGAAGAAAAGAAAAAGAGTTAGACTGTTGATACATTAAACTTTGAACTTTATCAATAATATGTGTGTGACCTGTATGTAACAAACACTAAACAAGGTCACGGTAATACTTTAATCCAGAAATGCATTAGAACATATGAACAGAAAATACAAACAAACAAAGAAAGAAATAAACACAGAGTAAGTTTAAATTTTGAATGGTAAAACATCTTCAAAAATTTTAAAAAAGAAAACTGTTAAAAGTTAAAGCAAAATAATGTTAAAATACACAGAGACTACTGACTACACTTGTTAAAAAGTAATAGGAGTAGTAAGTATATCACAGTGTTATTTGATGAAAAGCTTCTTAATTATTACAAGTATATTTGTCGGATAACAGGAATGCAGACAGTTAATATACAGGGTTCGAATACGTCATCGTTATCATCAGCATCTGAGGTGATATCTGGTCATATTGTTTTTTCTGTATGTAAGTTAAAAAGACAAAATGCAAAAAAAGTGAGATTAGGGCAGCAAAACGAAAAATAGTGTGATATCCAATTCACTAGCCGACAAGCTGACAATAGATAATCTGCCTGTTCTATCCAATAAAGTAGGGAGTCGGCACATTGGCTTGAACACTCGAATTTCAGTCAGAGAGTCCTAGGTTCGAATCCCACTTCACAGACTGCAGGCTGAACAACTAGACAATTATCATCATCATCACCTCTCATACAGTATGTGTAGATCATAGCTTGGGATAAGAAAGACCTGTTCCTGGGTAAATGAGTTCAAACAAAAAATAGTCTCTATTTCCCCAAGTGATATACTTCCGTAAGAATTATTTAGCTAACTTACAACATATAAACGATATAGGCTTGGAGACACCACACAAGATGCAAAGTTTTCAATACTAATTAAAATGACAACCCTATGAAAATTTGAAATGTGTTTCTCACTTCGAATTGACCGTTTCAACACTTCATGATCTTAATACTTACAAAATTTCTACACGGGAGCAAACAGACTACAAGTTTAACCAGCCAGAGAACCACTGAAAACCAGGGATTACTGAACTACCACTTTGTCCTAGTTTTGAACTGCTCAACAATATGCTGCCATGACTCTGCTGAGGGTCGAACCGACGACCTACACGGTACGCATGCAGAGCTATGGATGAGTACAGTTGAAGAGTTCGAAATTGGGACAAAGCAGCAATCCAGTACTCCCTGGTTTTTAATGGTTCTTCAACTGAAATCACTTTGTGAAGAAACTTATAATCAATCAAATCCCTGCAAACCAACACTTGATATCAAAGAGATTAGTTGGTTTCTACTAATTTGAGTTTTTTATTTTACTGATGAGATATCTGGATTGACTGACTGACTGACTGGTTTCAAAGTAGAACTTTGCACAGATGTACAGCTATTCGAGCTGCCATTCTCCCTCATTGTAGCACACAAAGCAAGAGAAGAGAGTAAAGAGGAATTCAAAAGAGAGAGATAATAAACAGAAATATGGGTCAATAAGAATAGTAAAATGGAAGAACAATAGAATTTTATTGGATATTATAAATCGCTAAGAGTGAATGAATTTGCACCATTGAGAACGGTTTCGCCCATATCACCAATTGTCACCAGCCTTCATTGGTTTTTAACATCCCGTGGACCCCAAGTTTAAACCTCCCAACATGGCTGGCTAGCTTAAACTAAGTGTTGTGGATTTCATTGATTGAAGAAGCCATGTTCTGGTTTGACCACCACTTCCTCTTTTACAGCCCAACCGAATGTCAGCTAACATTGCCTTTCGAGGAAGGCGATGTCTAGTCACGCACAACACATGTCCCAACCATCTCAAACGATGTAACTTCACAACCTCGTTGGTTGATTTCCCCTGCTACCTAACTAGCACTCCACTGAGGCCTAACCTAAATATTGCTCACCCTATTACATCACTTAACACGGGAGATGGAACACAGACACCTATGATCAGATACAGCTAGCCAGACTTTTCATATCATCCACCTCCAATAGCCATAAAGGAGGACCGACAGAACTGCTAAGCAGTACACTCGCCCTTTGGTCGATAGCCGGACGGCGTAAACTGGTATCTGCCAAACGAGCCTTCTGTATCCACGCTGAGATTTCCTCAGCGATCAACGTGCTGGGCTGGATGATGTGACTTCTCAAATAAGTGAAGTGGGTGTGTTGACCACTGACGACGTGCTGACGAAATCTCAGCACAGATAAAGAAGGCTTGTTTGGCGTACGCCAACTTCCGCCATCTCTGGCGTCGACGTGATATCCGGCTGTCGATTAAAGGACTGCTATCCAGAGTGCTACGAACTAGTGTGCTCTTGCATGTTATACTGTTGAAAAATATAACAGTTGAAAAGAGAGGAGCTTAAGAAGGTATTGTGTATTTAACATATAAATTCAAGGTAATAGAATTAATTGAGCTTTACGTTTTTGATCAGTACACATAATTACCATCACAAATGAAGAGATGAAATTCTTGTTTCGACATGCTCTGTGCGATATACCCTGGCACACGACAAACCTACTTGGTTTATTTAGATAAAGCTTACGACTGAAAGACAGAACACAAGTTGTCAATTAAACAGTTTTGTCTACCAGGTATGATTTCGGAACACTAAACACAAATAAATAAACTTATTGATTTTTCTTTATATCTGTATATTAAACAGAAAGATGTTTTTCATGGGTTGTTGTAAAAGCGATATGAAAATTGCATAGCACTCTGACTGCAATAAGCAAGTAGTTTACCACTTGTTTGAATCTTATCAATAATCAGAATGATCTACAGTAGTTGAGATTCAAATTTTGTTTGTCGTTAGATAACCAGTAAGTGACGAGAAGTGTTATTCATTCCACATGAGGATTAATTACATACTTAAACGTGTGAAAATGATACAGTTATTATAGGCGAAGATGCTGACACAATTCAGAGTCTTCTGAACACAGTATACAGAAGTCTGAGTATTTTCGACGTCCTCTTCGCCCATATCAAATGAAAGGCAATTCTATACGACCAGCCCACACTGACTTCCAGCTTAAAGACAGGGAGTGAACTTATTGAATACAACAGCCCTGATGGCCTGATCACTGACGAAATCTTAGTGCAGAAACAAAATGTTTGTTTGGTAGTTTCTTAACGGCATCATTTTTGGCACCGACACAGTATCTGCAGTTACCTGTCAGAGGGTGTTTAAAACTCTATTGATTGAGGACATGTCATACATGGAGAGCTAATGTCTTCCTCGACAAGCAATGTTAGCTGAAGTAGAATTAAGTTGAAAAAGAGTTAAGAAAAGTCAGACCGAAAATGGTACTAAATCATAAAGTCATTAGCCGTTGGCCTAAGCCACTTAGGATCCCCAGAATGTCAAGAATTAATGGTGGGAAATTGTTTGTGACATGGCTCTAAACTCTTTACTACAACGTTCCATACATATACTTTTTCATCTGCCCCACTCACAAATTCTGAACGATTTAACCAGTATTCACTTCATTATGAAGTTAGAGCTGAACATGTTGCTTATAAGGATAACGAGGACTTCAAAATTAAACCACTCAGGTGAGAGAATATAACACATCTGTGTGCATCTTCATATAATGTAGCCTTATTGCACTTCTCTTCCTATTTTTCTCCATTCCTTTGCGTTCCAAGTGGAATATAGGGCTTCAGGCTTTGAAGTTTCATTAGCGGTGGTGTTATATTTACGGGATAAGGTTGTTAGTCGCACGCCCAGCCTTCCCTCTTTACCGGACTTATTATCGGCCAGTAATCGAACCCGGACCTCTCACCTGGTTGGCAAGCATTTTGCCAATACACTATCGATGCACACTTCTCTGGATACTTTTTTCAAAAAATATGACGAATTGAACTGACATACTTGTTTACCGAATTCTTATCTTATAAGTCAAGCATCCACTGACGTTACTACGTATGCAGTTGTGAGAATCAGGTTGTCTTTTAGCTTTCTTCCGGGCACAAGTCACAACATGACAGTAGTTTTTGATTACACTAGATTAACTGCCACATTATGCTGAAAATGGTGATCAAAATACAATTGACAGTTTTGTCTCAATATCGATACTAGCTTGGAAAATACTTCAATCACATTTCGTTTATTCACAGAGAATGCAACAATAGACGCTTATCCTAAGTTTGACCCTTATCATGGGTTAACTATCACAGGATGACGTATATTGGGCATTTTTATATTTTTTTATCTTAAGACACCTCAAAGAAAGGTGGATACATTCCACTATTAGTATTATTATTCCCTTGATTTCTGAATGGAACATAGGGTTCCAAGAGAACATTTCCATTTCAACCTGTATTATGTAGTCCTCTTCAGCTGCTTGCACGATTACCCATAAACTTTCATTCACTCTTCACACAAACTCCTCTGTGTCACGCTTGGATGTCCAATTTGTCGTGTGCCATTCGGGTTCCACTCTGGAGCCTGACTCATTATGCCACTCATAACAGTTTCCTCAGAATGTGACCCACTAATATATTTGAACCCAACACTTTTAGGCATGATATGATTGATTAGTATATGTGGACAATTTCAGACCTAAGTAGACTATACTAATAAATTAAAATGCTTTGTTTCACAGCTTGACAATGGAAATGGAGTAATTCAAGTGGAAGTAATTAGTAGGGAAAGAGACGAAAGAAAAACCACACAAGAGACTTTAAAATTTGCTTTTCAACATCAGGTCATATCCTATGTTATAAATTATTTACGACAGAAAAATACAATAGATATATACATGCTTTAATAGCATGTATATATGTATTGTAAAGGAGGAAAGAAACAACCTCCTTTACCTACCTGGGAAGCATCGTTTCAACTACAGGCGGAACTGAAGAGGATATCAAAGCAAGAATCGGAAAAGCAAGACAAGCTTTCACTACTCTCAAGTCCGTGTGGAGGTCAACAGCACTCAGCATCAAAAATAAGATCCGGATTTTCAACTCCAATATGAAGTCAGTGCTAATTTACGGATCAGAGACTTGCACCGCGTGTGATAAAGAGCATCTCAAACAAACTACAGACCTTCATTAACAGTTGTCTTAGCTCAGTAATACTCAAGATCAGATGGCTGGTCGGAAAAGATCAGCGACAGAGATATCTGGCAATGAGCGAACCAACCAGGAACCGATTGTGAAACATATAGGCAGGAAGAAATGGAGATGGATTGGCTGGCCATACTGTGAGGAAACCATCAAGTGACATCACTAGACAAGCCATTGCTCGAGTGGAACCCAAAAGGGAAGCGGCAAGTTGGTCGTCAGAGCAAAGGTGACTTGGAGGAGGTCATGTGAGGAGGAGATGAAAGCATGTGGGCAGACTTGGAGCCAGGTGAAAACTTTAGCAGAGAACCGAACGGAATGGAGACGTGCAGCTGAAGCCCTATGTTCCTCTAGGAATTAAAGGAAGCAGTAATAATAATAATGCTTTAATAATTCAAAAATTATACCATAAAAAAACGATGCATACCTTGATGTTGGGGTGATGCTGCAGGTGTAATACAACTTTCACTGCTAACTGATGAATGTTTTGATGCTTTTCGATCTAAAAGTTTCTAGAATTTAAGAAAATGCAAATAGAAAAATACAAGCTCAACAATTTGGAGATAGGGAATTTAACCACCAGCGTACTCACGGTTAAACACTCTAAGGATAATTCAGAGGACTTACATGTCAAGAGAATGTCATTATGTGTCCTTGGCATAGCAAATAAAACTAACGACTAGAATAAAGTAAATAAATGAATAAGCACAGGAGTTCTTAATCACTGTCACGAGTGAAATTAGACTTAACAAACCATCAAGGAACAAAAATAGCCTTAAGGATTAAATTTCCCCATAAAGTATGAATCCACCAAAGCTACAGAACTACAAGTTACTGTCAGCTGCTTCCTAAGTTTCCTAATGAAATAGGAGTGGCACTAAAGATAATGTCTAGAATGGGCTCTACAGCTCTATTCACAAAACCTTAAGCTTATAGAGAGGATAATAAAACCATCTGGACATCCCAAAGAAGCTGTAAATAAACTATTATTACCACATTATCAAGGGAATGAAAAGAAACGAAAAGTCACTCATCAACCACTTGTTATTGCAAGCAGTTGGGAATAAGTCACACTTGTGGCATGTGCTGCTCACAAGATTTATCAGTAGTATATAGACGCAGATTGATAGGAAACGACTTAAACTCAAATCAACATCTTAAGTCAACGGTTGCAGAGGTTAAAGTGTTAGCTCCTCAAATCTGGATGTAGTTTACGTTGTGGGCATGAAATAATCTCATTAGATAACTTTTTGTCTCACTGTTTAACATTGGAACAATCGTCAACCAATCACAACAGTTTATTGTTTACTGGTTAAAAATGTATATGTTTATTTTTCTGTAATAAAAAGTCCGTTACCAATTCTTTTATCTTCTGCCGTTGAATACCTATTGTGTGAAGGCTAGTGATACTACCCAGTTGCTCAGACCTCAGTAGGTGGAGTGGAGTTCGAATCCGTGCCTCCTCTAGCTTCAAATCGAGCGACTACAGCAATGAACCCTAGGGGCTATTTCAAAATACATTCCAGTAAAATTCTGATTGGCTGAAAATGCTTTATCATCGAGAATAGGATATGGATGTGAGTAGTCGTTTCATTTGTTAACAAAAATTTAGTCAACCTATTTACCATCTTCAAAAATAGTTAATATGAAAGTTATAGATGTGGAAGTCTCAGATAATGCGAAATTAAAATTAGGTCAATGTCAGATTCCCCAAAATAAGATAGTACTTCTAAATACTGGACTGACCAACGTTGGATAGTCAGGGGCAACTGGTAGGAAGCCCAGCCTGACTTAGCTTTCGTCTCTGTTGGTTATCATCAGTTGGGAGTATATAGGACTTTCGAGAAGGGTGAAGCTTAATCAAAGACTTAAAATTGCAGCGATCAGTGTGAAAGGTGGACACTTCATTTTTAAGCTAGCCAGGATGTGGCAGTCTCCAGTAAGATTAAACTGGGAACAGTAGTATGTCACAAGAAGAAATAGATGTTGGTTATTCTAAACACCGATGGAATTGTAACGGCCATGTTTACATCTCAAAACGCACAAAATTTAGGTTGTCAAGTTCTTGGTGATCATTTCCAATCATCTGTTAAAAAACACGTCTTACTGAAAAGGCCTCTTTAAAAGCTGTGGTACGGTCTAGGGTTGGTACTCTTCGGTCTTCCCCTCGAAATGCTGTCATCTAGCCACGCTTTCCTAGCCTTTGCTACGTGGGTCTTATTCACTGTCTTCACACGGTTGGGTTGTTCCTCACAAAACAGAAAGGGCGAATGAGAACGTCTGGCACTTATAACCAGACTGGTGGAGATGCTGGTCTATCTAGGGCAGCTGGAAAACCCTGATTCCAGACCTATGGTGTACAACGGGCTCCACAATCCAAACGGATCAACTGTTTTTGGTAACCTGCTGCAACCATGGGAACGCAGTTCCTGACGCTGCTCCACTTCTTTGTGGATCAGGATTCAAGCCAAAGGCTCCAGAGTGGCCCCTTAAGGCACCCACCTGTTTTGGTTTGGGCGTTCGAGCACTATCTTCCACCCCTTGCACGAACTATGAGATTTTGTGCGGCGCATCTCTTGGTCCCTATAATATACCAAGTTTATATCTAAATAATAATAACTTTTGAAATAAAATTCTAAGATATAAATTCACCTGAATAACAAACATCTCATAAAAATCTTATGTAAAAATTCCTTGCTTAAAACATACACAGAGAGCAACAGTCATATTACTTTTCGTTACAGCATTATTACTAACAGGAACAAATTAAGAACCTCGACTGGTATTATTTTCAATTACTGGTCAAATAAAGTATATCACTAACCTTGTATTTATTGACTGTATTCAAAGCTAAAGACTTCTCTATTTCCAATGATTCAATTCGATCCTTCAATACTCTGACATAGAAGAGATTAACACATAATAACGATTATTTATAAGAGAGGTAAAAAGGATTTGAAATAAATGAGAATTAAAATTGGCGATCTTAATTTCCTTATAGTGTAACGACAGAAGGCAAGAGTCAGGCAACAGATCATTTATTAAGGAAATCAACGCGTATTTATATATTTTTATGTACATTACTATGGATATTTAAGAAAACAAACACAGTCTTCCGATTGGTTGTTTCTCACGTAAAGTTAATCTTTCATCTATTTGTGACTGTTTCTTGAATGTCAAATCATCTATATGTTAACCGCATCCGCCTACGCAAAGTGTGCTGTGGTCGGCTTTGAATCAATCTTTGTTCACATTTTCTCACGACAAATCTTCAGAACGTAAATATTGACGTAAATTACTGTCTACCAATTTGGCTAGTAGACAGCTCTCACCACAATAGCAGTTATATGTTATGTTTGATACATATGTATTAACAAACAATAAGAACGAAATGAGTCTGCAGATCTAAGACGAAATACACTAAGGAGATCTTTAACCTGCATTATATGTGAATACATACCACGGACATATTTCCTCGTTTAGAGATAATGCTTAGTGTTACTGATGCGGTTTTATAGAAATGTATCGTTGGGAAGATTGACAAACTGATATATTTCGATATGGATCCAGTCACAAATAGACATCACTTAGAGAACCACTGAACGTCTCGTCTTAGTTGTGGACACGTCAGCAATGTACATCTATGATCCCAATAGTGACTGAATGAAAGACCTTAAGGTGACGAAGCTAACCCAGTGATCATTCACCAGCTGGGTTGAAATTGAATGACTTGTGAATTTTAACTTCTATCAATTCGCTATATAGTACTATCGCCAACTAATGCTATAGATGAGCATTCGCTCCATCCTGACGTGTTGGACCCAAATGGCCGTAACTTATTAGTGGAACTCTAAGAAATCTATCCTGTAGCCACTACATAAGTTCGAGAGACCACCTACTACTGTTAACTTTCGTACAATAGGTGTAGCTTACAGTCTGAGGCACCAATCTCCGTGCAAATTATGGAAAACATTATTGTTTAAAAAGGTTGAGATGAATCTTGAGATAAAATCAAGTGCTTATGAAAAGATATCGGTGTAGCTGACATTTGGTAAACACCAAAGATAAATTCAGTGTTGATCTGTTTTTTTCTAAACAATCTATATATCCCCCCTGAGATATCCCGTTCATCGTGAGGGTAAGTTAGTTAACATATAAATAAATTTCGATATTTACCATGGACAGTCGTCTCATATGAAGACAGCTTAGTCAGCTTTTGATACACAGCGTATGCAGCCCAATAACAATAATTAGAAGTCATTAAATCACACATTGAATAAATAAGAGAATTATTTTCGTTGCTTGCAGATACCTCGAATCTAGCACTTTTAGTTTCTTGTGTCCCTGATCCGGATGAATTAACTGATTAACTGACTGAGTCTCAACATAAAAGTTTGCACAGAAGTGCAGCAGTTTGAGTTGTCACACTCCATGCAGCATACAAAAGAAGACAAGAGACAAAGAATAGACTCAAAATAAACTAACGAGCAGAAAAGAATAGCGACATGGAAAAACAGCTATTTAGTGGATATGGGAGTTCACAAAGTCAATGCATATGTGCCATTGAGAACGATTTCGAGCCACGTCACCAGTAGTCTTCGGCTATTAGTTCGTAGTATCCCAAGGAACTCAAACAGGAAGTCTACACCTTCCTACATAGGTCAAACCAACTATCAAAGAATTCACGGACTGATACCATGCTTTGGTTTGACCACCATTGGCTGTTTTCCAACTTAATGTTATGGCAGCCATCACTGCTCGTTCGGGAAGGCGATGGATAGGTATACGTAACGCATATCCCAACCATCTCAGTCGATGTAACTTCACAACCTCATCGATTGATTCTCCCTCCTTACCTAGCACTCGACGTCTAATCTCAATATTATTAACTCTATTAGGCCACCTAACACGGGAGATAGAACGCAGGCACATATAGTCAAAGACAGCTAGCCCTTAAATGACCATGTCTCACAACCATAAAGAAGGAGACAGAATGAACTGTTGAGCAATACACACATCTTTTGATCAATAGCCGGATGTCATGCCTACGCCAAAGATGACGTAGGTTGGAAAATGACACATGAACCTTTTGTATCCATGTTAAGAATTCGTTAACGACTAGTTCATTACAGCTAATGTAACTTCTCAATACGCTCAATTACTTCATCCCTTATCTTTCAGCTAGGAATCGGGGAAGTCTAGTCTTGCAGCATCATCTTACATTTTATACGAGGTAATCACATGTCAAATGTTCGAAGATTTCTGCTCATGGTATCCACAAGACTCTGAATTCCGTACAAACGGCTTAATAGCTTAGTGCCAAAGATAATGAGCTAACATAGTGTTTAAAGACTGAGGATATTATTCAGCTAGACAGATCAAAACAAATGGGGAGTAATTCAAAATCATTGCTTGCAAATTGACTGTCAATAGGAAAAAACCTGAAATAATCAAGAAATTTAAGTAACAAAGATAACTGATTTTAAAAGCGATTGTATGAGAGAATTGACTCACTTGCTTTCAGTAATCAAAGTGTCAATGTCCACAATCTTACGTTCATCGCCACTTAAAATATAATTTAGTTCATTGTTTAATCTGTCACACTTGTTACGATAGATGTCTCTCTCAGTTGCAATCTCCTGTTTTTCATCAAGGCACCTACTCAATTCACGTTTGACTTCTGAAAGCTTTAAGTTCAATAAAAATATAAATTCATTGATGTATTCTTTTAAGAGTTATGAATACTATGAAAGGAGAAAATTGACAAGAACATAATAATAAACTTATGAATCACTAACACAATTAGTCGCAATAAAATTACATTGTGTGCATCGGTGAATCAGCGGCAGAATACTCGCCAATCACGCACGTGTTTCGGGGTTCGGTCCCCAAATAACGCATTCCTATACATCGCTAAACCGATAGTAAAGTCGGTAAAGAGGGGGAGAGGGTTAGGCATGAGGCTAGCAATCCCACCCCGTGAAAAGATAACATCACTGCTGTCGAAACTTCAGAGCTTTAGCTTGAAGCGCTATGTTTCATTAGGAACGTAAAGAAATAAAATAAACAAAATCGATAAAACATTGCATTAAGTATTGTAAAAATTCATATAAGTAAACACTGTGAAAACAATTGGAAACCAGAAATGTATGGTGCCTTCACTTCCCTGCTGTCTTCTTCCTCTTACCTGCCTTGGTTTATTGGTAAATATTGCCCTTACACTTACTGGATATGAGGTAAAACTTAACTTCATCAGAAACTTTTAAAGATACAAAATACCAACATCTCGTATCATACATATTCTGTGTGAAAATCTACATCCCAAAATACCATGAAATACTGTTGATTTAGTTTTTCCATAGACTATTAAATAAATCCTAACGTCATATTCCAAATACAATAGAACCTTAAATGATAAAATTTTATCTCAAGTATAGTTTTCATAGTCTACCAGTGACGATAACTGAACATGTAAACTGCCGAATGACAAAAGAATACCCATAATTGTTTAACACTAGGCGATGAAAGTGGAAATTGTTCTTTTTTCCTTCACGCTCCCCCAGTGGAACATAGGGCTTCAAGCTAGTGGCTTGAAGTTTCTGTAGCAGTGTTTATTTTTACAGGATGGGGTTGCTAGTCTCACACCCAACCCTTCCTCTTCACCACCATTATTTCTGGCTTAGCGAGGTAAAGGAGTGCGTCGGCCGGGGATCAAACCGCGGACCATGTGCATGATCGGCGAGCGTCCTAACCGCTATGCCACCGACGCATCCCTGGAAATTGTTTAACATAAGAATAATATGATTGATTAAAACTAAAGTTCGCTACTAAGGAAGGTATTTGCTTTTTAATAATACATTAAAGTGATATACACTGCTTCAAACTCGATATAAATACAAGACTAATATATTGATACTACTTATTTGAAAGTTGACAGAGTATGGATTACGCCTAGCTGAATTCTTACTCAAGTCGACTTTTTTTATAGGAAAATAGACTACATAAGCGCACATGTTATCAGTATGTGAAGTATAAGATTGTTAATTTCACATAATATGGCTAAACAATAACAACACTTCGCTTTACTATGCTAACTGAAAATACGCCTAGTTAAACTTCTTCGTGGTAGGTATGTGGAAATTAATTTTGCAAAAGTGTAGTTGCCAAAATAAACGTTAAGAAGCCAAGTACCTGGAAGGTAAGTTCCTCTAACTGTATTACATAACTTTGACGATCATCTCCGCAAACTTTGGTGTCTGCTTTTGAACGATTCTCCAATGAACGGTCTCTGAGCTGTTTTCTCAGTACTTTAATATCGCCTTGAAGCTCCCCAATTTTTCGTTTAGAGCTCATCAGTTCGTGTTCTAATCCTTTGTTAGCTTCTCGACTTTCGACTAATAACGATGCCAGCTATAAACGAAAATTTAGAAAGATACATTTACAAACCTGTTTGGTCGATAAATGCATCATGTCATCGTTAGAATACTCATCATTATCGCATTCCATGACAGTTCGTTTGAGTATCTGATACCGGTTCATTACCTAAATCCAAGTAGAAAAATATTAATGAATTACCTGCTCGGCCATTTTTTTGAACTCATTTTTTTCTTTTTTGCATTTTTCTAGTGAAGCGTTTAAAATAGAAACGGCTTGTGTTTTTGCATCCAACTGCTGAACAGTTGCTGTCAGCTGTAAGGCAAGGTTTCATGATTAAATATTAATAACGCTTACATCAGTTTTCAAATTTTCTAACTCCAAATGCAATCGTTCTTCTAACTAGAAAGTTTATATTAATAACCAAATCAAAAGTGCAACAAACCATTTGCTTGATAAAGATGATGATCCAACCAAAATAGCAATATACATCTGAAGTAGGGGAAAATTGCAATTTCAGAATAATACCAACAAATATATAACACACATGATATTACAATACAAGAAGTGAACCAAATATTTTCTGTTCATGAAGCTAAATATTTCTGTTACAACTGAATCAACAGGCAGTACCTGTTGGAGGAAGCCAAATGAAGAAATGTAGACTGCTTGCATTTGAAACTTTGACATTCAAAAAGTTAATGACACTGAGTGGATTCAACAACAAAGTAAACAAATTCACCATTTAGCTTTTACCACTCTGTACGTGAACATCTCTAATTTCACTTTCTCCAAGCTTTCTCATTAAATACACGTCTTCATTTGACTCTCATTTAGCATGGTATAAAGTTAGTTAGTTTGAACAAACATGAAGCTGCATAGTGCACTATTTAAATTTTATATTAATTTGCTTATTAATTATATCAGAGTGAAACAGTATTATTTAGTGGATGAAGTTTCAAACACAATTGTTCACTCAAATATCATATCTACTGATTTGATTATGCACCCTACATTTTGCTTAAATCATCATCTAGTAAATATTACCGTTTCACCACAGTATATCCTGGTTGCCCACACCTAGTTAGTCGTGGGAAAGATCTATTCGGCAAATTAATAGGGGGTTATATACTACCCCTTTCCAAGTTTTGCATGTATTAAAATAGTATTTTGCCTAATCGCATTATGCCTAAACATATAGAAATGCTCCTAAGATTTATTATGGTATTGTTTAATTTTATAATGCAAGACCTATAGTTTTCGAGGTTTCGACCTCATATTCGGTCGCGTTGTCCATTAGGGTCGTAACTACAACGTGACTGCATGTTATAGTCTCAATTTCATGTCGTTAGTACACATCCTACACAGTCAAATCTTGTAAATGGATGTAATAACGGTAATCTAACTACACAATTAATAACTATACTATAAACTTATCATGAATAGTGAGAACTAAATTGTGATTGTATTCTGTCTGTCTGTCTGCCTGTCTGTTTTCAACATAAAACTTTGCACCGATGTGCAACAGTTCAAGTCGCCACACCATGTAGCACACAAAGCAAGAGAAAGAAATGCAAAACAGAGACAGTAAAAAGGGATATAAGACAAAAGGAATAGTAATATCGAAGAACAATATAGTTTCTTTGGGTATTATAAGTCACAAGGAGTGGATGCATCTGCGCCAGCAACTGAGAACGATTTGGAGTCATATTACCGATTATCTCCAACCACTGGAGTTTACCGTCCCGACGATTCCAGCCAGTCACGAAGTCCACACCTTCCTATGTGACTGGCTTAAATTAACTGTTGTGGATTTCATTGACTGATGAAGCCATGTTTTGGTTTGACCGCCGCTGGATCTTTTCCAACCTGACCCTATGTCAGTCAGCTACCATTGCACGTCGAGGAACGTGGTTGTATTGTGATTGCATTATTCTTGCTTAACTCGGTCGATTGTCCGATTCGCTTAACTACTTGAGACTCGGTTAGTGGGGGAGGGTGGTTTCTGTGACTGGATGCCCTAACCGAAACAATTCCAGTTCCAGGTCTTGTGTTCGTATTTCAGTCTAGGAAATTTTTGTGTTAGGCATAAAAATGGCATGGAAATCACTAGTAGGATGGGTTATAAATGGCGAAAACACATGTTTTTTCCCAATATCCACTGCAATCAGGCATTTTTCCATTCATGTCAGCTACAGAAACCTAGTACTGAAAAGTCGCTCATGTAGGTTGAAGCAGTACTGCGGAGCTGTGGCCCATTAAAAAAGTGAAATAATTATTTTCAAAATGTCAGTCAGCGACCATTTACATTTCTATGCAGTTGACAATGAGCAACACAATTATGCGAGGGCTGATGATTCCGCATGGTAATGTATGCTACGGCAGGTGGAGCAAGGGACGAAGCCATATCTACCTCCCTATACGGAAAATATTTTGCCATGGCAGACTCCTTATTAAAACATACGAGTGTGGTTCGGATATTAATTATTTATGCTTGGACTAATACTAAGACAACTGCCCAGGAACTCCTGGTTGTTCAAAGGACCTGTTAAGGCACACTGACAGTTCCTCTGTTTCTAGCAGAATAGCTGTAAAACCAGAAGCGACAATAATCCCAAGTTAGATTCACACATCTCAGGATCTATCGTGGGTTATGCATGTACATGCATAGTCAGAATTTGAAAATCATACGCCGAAACGCATAACCAGTATATTTTGAAGAATAGAAACCCTGACACTTAAAATAGCTGCACCTGAAATCATGATTTGTAGTTTCTATAAGCCTTATTCACTAATAACCGTGGGTAAAAATGTTTATATATAGTCAGGCTGGCCCTATGAAATGAAATTTGGCAATCACCGTGGCGTTTTTATAATAACATAATAATAGGGCAAGGAAAATAATTTGACGATTGCGATATTTGAATCTAAAACAGTCAACAACTAACCATTTACCACTGTAGCGTAACCCTCAAACTTTGCGGGGTTTCTTGATTAAAATTATCCTGCTTGCTTAAGGGCACTGAAAGAATTAGGCACCAAAAGGCCATTTTCGTCCATGTCGCTCACCCATGTTGGATTGCAGTTCCTGAACCGTTCGTTTACACATTGGCTTTTACGCTTATTCTGCAGTTAATCATAATTTATCTTGACGCACATTTCAGATTTCAGATTCAGATTAATAATAATAATAATTTGCTTTATTCCAAAACAGTACTTGTGATACAGAATGGAATTCTCAGCATTTTTACTACAGTATTGCATCCAGTTAGTACATTGTCAATAAAATAGAATTCTACATAGATTGAGGAAACCACAGTTCATTATTACAACAATACATTGGCATGATTCAGTAGCAAAGGTAAAGCTGAAATAGTGTTTGAAGGTGTTAGAAAAGTGGGAGCTGTCTTATTAACTGGCGTAAGCGAAAGAAAGAGAACAAAGCAGCACATAACGGAAAAAGAAGAGAGAGGACAGGAACAGAAAGAAAGGAAATGTTGAACCTATTGATGAAGTGGGTTGGAAAGATGAGATCCAGTTGTACTACTGACTATTTAATGAATTATAGGTGTCACGCCTAATGCTTTCTTTATCACACAGAACGCGAGCTAAGTAGGGTATGGTTGAGTTTTTGTACTTGCTGGTACGAGCATATAGTTTTCTATATTGGCTTCTGGTTTTACCTGATGAGATGCAAGGGGAGAGTTGTGAGTGAAGAGGGTGGTGTGAGTTAGATAAAATGGACTTGGCCCATTTTTCACATGAGTCCATGTGCCTGTCAACCAAAATATTAACAAGCTGGTTAAGTGGCACGTTGCTTACTCTGCTGACAACATTTAACATCCTGCGTAATATGTTGTAGTCTTTCTTCAGTAGCCCAGGAAAAACTAAGGGGGAACAATAGAGAATAATAGGCAGGATGCGAGAATTAACGAATTGTAGGAGTAGGGGTTGGGTAATACCAGAATGTTTTAACTTCTTAATGTAGAAGGCAAGACGGAATATTTTCTTAGAAATTGCTAAGATATGAGACGACCAGGAGAGATCAGCAGATAGAATGACACCTAGGTATTTAATTTCCGATTTAGTTTCTATTTCAGTGCCGTCTATTTTGCATACCTCGTGAGAGCCAAACAGTTTGTTTAGGTCGGATTTATGCCTAAAGGTGAAATTGACTGTTTGGCATTTGGAAGGGTTTAGAGTAAGACCATTTTCCTTGGACCACTGGTTGATTTCTGACAGAAAGCCATTAAGTTTAGAGCAGTCGCTTTGACATTTGATAGGCAAAGATGCAGACAGATCATCAGCGTATTTGACAAAATTAATGTCATTTGAAGATGGTAAGTCATGTAGAAAGAAGGAAAAGAGAAGTGGGGAGAGTACAGCGCCTTGGGGGACTCCGGCTTCAGTGAGTGCAGCAGAGGATGATTTACCTTTGTATACGGTGTACTGCTTTCTGTTAGAGAAGTAGGAATGCAACCAGTTAGTGACCCAGGACTCAGTTTTCGTCAAAGAGAGCTTATTTAGAAGGAGACATCTAGGAACAGAGTCGAAAGCAGAAGTGAAGTCAAGAAACGTGCAGCGGACGTATTTAGCACCTTTATCTAATGATGAGACAATGTTGTTGTGTAAGACAGCTGCAGCGTCTAATGTACTCCTACCCTGTCTATAGGCAAATTGTTTTGGGTCTTCGAAGTTTTTAAGGGAGGGTTCGAGTTTAAGAAGTATTAGTTTTTCCATAACCTTTAGAAACGGGGAAGTGATGGCAATGGGTCTGAACTTTACGTTCTTGCCATTTCCTGGTTTAGGGACAGGGACAATTTTGATGTCTTTCCATGCATCAGGTACGATATTTTTGGAGAAAGAGGCATTTAGGATGTTGGTTAGTGGAGAACACAACACATCTGCACATTGTTTTAGAACATAGGCAGGTATACCATCAGGACCTAGGCTACGTGAGGGCTTGAGTGTTTTAAGACATTTTAGAACATCGAGAGTATTAAAGTCATGAAAGTTTTCAGCAACATGATAGGTAACATTAGAGGTAGTTAAAGTAGAAGGACAGCGTATAAAAGACTGATTAAGAGCATTAACATCATAAGAGGGAAAAGTATTACAACGCTTACTATTACCAGTAATTTCATTAAAAAGTTTCCACATACTGATTGGAGATTTACATGATAAAAGTGTATCATTATATATAGCATTAAGATTTTTGATTTCAGATTTGATCTGAGCATTAATCTTTTTGAGTCCTAACTTGTCTTTGGATTTGTACAAAGTTTCTTTTTTCCTGCGAAGTTGTTTGAGATAAGGAGATGAGAAGCGGTCGAGACGTTTGAATAGAGTTTGTTTGGGACAACATATATCAAGGCAAAACTTGAGATAATCCGTTATATTGACGATTGTGTCATCTAATGAACTTTCATGGAATAAGTCCCAGTTAGTATTTTGTAACATGCACCTTAGATTGAGTAAGTTTTCGGATGAGTAGCATCTTTGTTGTGCTTTCATAGACAGATGCGAGAAGACTTTAATGTGTGTTTTGCTGTAAATTTTTGGTAGAACACGAACAATAGAGTGATCAGAGTTGAGGATCGGTGCACGTTTACGTGCTTCATAGATTCCTTCGTCATTTGTAAAAACTAAATCCAGTGTTTTGTCTAGTCGAGTGGAAAATTTGACAATGTTAGAGTGACCAAGTGCTTCAAGGAAGGAGCAATCTGATGAGTTGAAGTCCCCAGTAATAACAGACAGAGAGTTGTCGAAGTTGGCAGCGGCGAACATGGTGAATTCATCGGCAAAACTTGAAAGATTAGATAGTGAGCAACTTGGAGAAATGTACATGTTTGTGATAAAGATGTGTTTATATTTGGGGAGATGTTTGGGACGACATTTGATTTGATTTCAGATTTTTGGTTGAGGATAGAAGGCTTGAAGCCTATGTTAATCCTTTTCTAGTAAATTTCTATCCTTGTCCAAACCCTCCTTGAATGAAACAGTTGGGTTTGTAGACAACACTTCTTCTGGGAGTCGGTTCCAAGAGTTTATGACTCGGTATGAGAACCAGTACTCAACAGCAGTGTGATTTCTTCTTGGCTTTTGAACTCTCCTGCTATGTCCTCTAAGGTGTTCCGACCTGGTGGGAAGGATAAGAGAGAATGGGTCAGGTCCATAGTCATTATTTAACATTTTAAACATTGTGATTAAATCTCCTCTCTGCCTACGGTATAACAAGGAGAAGAGATTTAAACTGCCTAGTCTTTCCTCGTATGATAAGTTAGTCATGTTGAGAACTATACGTTTTGCCTTCCTTTGAATCCTTTCTAGAATATGTGAGTCCCCTTTAAGACAAGGGCTGGCGGCCTGGATGCAGTTTTCCAGTCCTAGTCTCACAAGAGATGTACATGAAGAAGTGAACATATCTCTGATGATTCTAGTGAAGGCTCTACGAATTGCCCATAATGACCTGAAACTACGTGCAGCCACCGCGCGACAGTGTGCTGTAGTTTTTAAGTCGTGGCTAACTATGACACCTAAATCCAAGTGAGTCTGAACTGATGGAAGTGTAATTCCCTCTAGTTCGTAGGAGCTCGTGCTTGCTTGTCCAATGCGCATGGTTGCACATTTTGTGACATTTATCGGGAGCATCCATTCTATGGACCACTCCGACAATTTGTTGAGGTTCTGTTGAAACGTGGACGTATCACTGTTGCCATTCAGCTCTCTCCAAATTTTTAATTCATCTACGTATATGTCCATAGGGGAATCGATGAGCAGAGATAAGTCATTGATATACAAAATAAATAAGAGGGTTCCGAATACCATGCCTTGTGGCACTCCTCTACGCGCTGCCGTCCAAGAGGAGAGTTTCGAGTTGATCCTAACCCTCTGCCTCCTATCTTTGAGGAATTCCCTCAGCCAGTTTAGTAGTCTTCCCTTGATACCAAGACTTTCCAACTTCATGAGTAGTCTTTTGTGAGGAACTTTATCAAAGGCTCTCCTGTAGTCTACGAAGACGACATCAGCCGGTCTTCTGTTGTCCTCTGATTTGACACAGCTTTCTCTTGCAGTGAGGAGATTTGACAGGTATGAGAGGATTCTTCGAAAACCGTGCTATGCTCTGGATAATTATTTTGTTGTTTTCCAGGTATACCAGGATGCTTTTTCGGTGATTCTTTCCAGTGTCTTGATTAAAGTGCTGGTGAGACTGATAATCCTGTAATTTGAAGGGCTTTGTCTTGATCCTCCTTTGTGGATGGGAGTTACTATGGCGTCTTTCCAGTCACGCGGTAACACTCCATTTAGGAGAGAGAGCTTGAAGATCGTGGTCGAAAGGCCGCCTATGTGAGCTGATAGCACATTGACAAGCATTGGATGAAGATGATCAAGACCCAACGATTTCCCTGCATCTAGTTCTATTAGGTAGTTGAACACGATGTCTTGGTCGATGTCAACAGAATCTATTCCGTGTTCCTCTGATGCAGCCAGAGCTGATCCTCCAGGGAGTGATGACTCCTGTATAAAGACTTGGGAGAAGTAGTCTACCATTGCTTCTGCTTTTCCTTGATCTTCTTCGATTGTGTCATCGCCAATAGTCAGGTTTGGGACACCATTAGATATTTTGTTCCCGAAGTTCATGTAGAAGAAAATTTTCTAAGGTTGTGCCTTTGCATTTTGAGCCAGATATGCTTCCAGCTTTATCGTTGACTGGCGGATTTCTTCAATAGCTTTATTCCGAACAGTGTTATACAATTTCCTGGTCTCAGGAGTCTCAAGTGTGGCAAACAAGTTCCAACATTTGCGTTTACGTCTGAGTAACTTACGAATCACTTGGTTTATCCAAGGGAGGCAATGTTTCCGACCCTTTGGAATAGACCAAGGGATAAAAGGCTCAGTTACTTGGACGTAATGTTGTTTAAATTGGTTCCATGAGGCTTCTACTTGGGACTCTGGGTTGATGTACCAGTTTACTG